CATCTTCCCCTCGGTCAGAGCTCGGTGAGTAAAGCGATGGATTCGCGTCACCCATGTGCTGACATCTCGACAGGACGAGGCGCACTTGCCGAACGAGAGAATCTCGCTGTCCAACCTCCGAAGGGGAAAGCAAGTCGTCGAGCGGTTCCTGCTCAACGTCGGCAAGTCGGACTTGCCCCGGTCACCTACGGATCCTGACCTCCCGGGCCTTAACTTCTGATTGAGGTATCGCTTCAAGGTCAAGTAACATCGTGCCAAAAGTTATCGTAAGATCGTCTTAGTCTCGCTACGCACTGCGCATTCTTAATACCCGCATATAAGTTCTGTGTATCTATACATTGGGACATTCTTCGGATATCCGTTTCGTGTACATTTGGAACTGTATCTTCACTTTTTGTTGTATATCTTGTACGCTTTGCTAAAACCTTCATAACGTCAGAGGAAATAATTGACCTTTGCCATCTAGCTGACCTTTAGCGATGCGCTGACCGAGTCTCTCCATGGTCCGCTGCGGTTCGAGCCTCGTCTTTGAGCTGCGACCCATCAGGCCTTCAGGGTCTGCGGGGATGATGAGCGGCTCGTTTGAGAGCACCCTGCCCGCCACATCGGCCACTGCTTCCGTTTCTCTAGCTTCTGCACGATGGACCAACCTCTCCGCATCGAGCACGCTGCAATGGTGGTGCCACGCCAGGAGGGCAAAAACTCCAAACAAGCCGCTCAGCGTTGCTGCCACGAGGAGCGCGAATGCAGTCTTTCTTTGCACCTTAAACCGGGGTACATAGGCTTCATGAGGTCTGGGGCGACCATGATACGGCAGTGTAATAATACGCAGTTCAATGATTGTATGAAGTACTGGGGCGTACGTATACTGCGCCGAGTCTGCATTTTCCTCCGCTGTATGTTTTCCGACAAAGTAGTAAGAGGCTGCCCTGAATGGCCGTATACGTAGCCGCACTTCGATGGCAGCCAAGCAGGCGAGGTCAAAGGCACATGGGAGGCCAACTACTTGAACTTGGCGACGCAGTACGCCATGTATTGCAATTCCAGCGTGTGACCGCCTGTAATCCGGTATCAGCCTGGACCTTCCAGAGGAGACCTTAGATGCAGGACTGTGATCGCCACCCCTACTATGGCTTCTGAGTGACAGGGATCCATGGGTGTGCCCATTCCTGAGGACGACGTGTCCAAATCAGCGACTCGTCATGTCAACATGTTGGTCAATCGTTCGAAAGGACACATTGTGACGAACCAGGCTGTACAGCCGCTTTGTTACATGAGTGCATTAGTATGTATCATCATGCGGGGCTGTCCTTTCGCCGATCACGGAGCGGACTCGAGGGCTCCGACCTGAGAATTCAACAAGAACGCCAAGCAACGGCGAGTCTAGCATTTGCTGACGAAGTGCTACACAGCGGTATACAGAATCGCTACCATGCCGCAAGTACCAGGTACCGAATATTATACACAGTTTTGGGGGATACTAGATGGGTCAACGGCGATGACCGCGATGGATAGATGAGAGCAGAATAGATAGCGAGCGAGTCCGTGGTCCGTGAAGGATGGTATGTCTGGTAAGCAGGTAGTGCGGCTCTGCGCGAGCGCGATGCAAAGGTGGTACTAAGCGAGGGGCTAGGTAGGCAAACGAGTAGTAGGGTGGGTTGGGGTGTAGCTACATTGATCAAGGTGTCCGCGTCGAGTGGGCGCAGGCCGACCGCCCGCGGAGCAGCACTAATACTGTTGGTGATATTATTCCTTTCTCTTTCTCCTGTCTGTTGCAACTTCTCCACAAGCATCGCAAAAACTTCATGTTGGGTGGGCCTTAGGCCGAGAGGGGGTACCAGTCGTCGGCCCAAGGTCCCGTCGTTCAACGCCTCTCCCACTCCGCAGGCTCCGGCCACCTGTGTTCCTGCCATTCCTTGAACAGCGGCGCAACGTACTCCTCGTGGCCCTTCTCCACATCGTCGTTGATGCATATCAGTGCCGCGTCCGTCGTCTCGTCCACGCGCTGGAGCATCGCCTTCACCTGCTCCGTATGCAAGAGCATCTCGAACATTGCGGGCGTGTTCCCGACCACGTACCGGTACCGCTGCAGCACCCGCAGCGTCCACGCGCGCACGTTGCGCTCGCCCGCCGTGCCCATCACGCCGCGCAGCGAGAAGTCGCCGTCTTCAAAGCGAGGGACGAGCGGCAGGTGCGGCATCGTGTCAGACGGCTCTGCGAAACCAGGTATCTTGGCGGAGAGGTCGGCGAGTTGGCGTTCAGGAGCAGGGAGGAAAGCTGAGATGCCCAGATGTCCGCTCGCTCGTGCGAGGGCAGTGATGACTTCAACGTCACAACGGCATTTAGAGAGTGCGCACAGCATAACAAGGAGGAAAGCACGCACTGCAGTCACCGCACTGCGGGTTCTCAAACGCGACGTGCTTGAAGACGTCGGACGCACGCGAGTAGCCTGCGAAGCACTCATCATAGCTGATCGTACACGTCAGGAGGTCGTCTTCCGCAACGTCCGGTGTGACTCGACTGAAAGGCGCGCCCGTTCCGAGCCCAGCGTATGCGTACCCGTCCAGCGAGGCTGTTCATCCGTCAGCACACTTCATCGCACCGAGAGTAACATCTGAGCACTCACAAAACACATACGACGTCTTTCCCAATCCACCCTCCAAACCGCTCTCGCGCAGGGCACTCTCCACCCTCTCCCCCTCAAGCGTATACCGATGGTCCGCGGTCACAACTACTTCCCTGGCACCCACACCCTCCGCGCTCACCTGTGCCCACGCCCTCCGTTCCTCCTCCACGCCCCACGCATCGTCCACGCCCCCATGCCGCCCAACGACCCACGCCCACAAGAGTGCCTCCCTTGCGCGCTCGACAATAAAATGCGCATGGAGTAGCATCGTATTCACATCGCTCGGCGTACCGGGGCCCGCAGTCTCGCGGAAGAGATGGCCCGCGGCGCGCGCGAACGCGCCCGGCCAGACCGTCTCGATCTCCGCGAGGATCGGCGCGGAGACGACCTTCGCTTCGTGCATGACGTACGGGCGGTGCCGCGCGCCGAAACGCTGGCCTGTGGGCAGGTACGGGTCAGTGGTGAGCGGTGCTTGGGAGGGCGCGGAGGGCGCGACGCACTGAGCATGAAGTTCGACTCGCCCATGCCCCGCCACTCGCCCTTCGTGAGCACGGTGGGCGGGTCAGGCGGGACCATGAGGCCGGTGTCGAGGTGCAGGACGATGCCGTACGCTGGATGAGTGTGAGGAATTGCGCTGCAGCCAAGGGTCGAGTGCACCCACCGGGCGTGTAAAACGTCGCAGGCTGTAGCGGTACGCCAAAGAACAAATCATCGTTCTGGGAATGAGCTATTAACAACCGTGCGACGTCCAGGCACACAATCGCTCACCATGTAGACACTGTATCAATGCGCGGCGGAATGTATGAGGTCGGCCGGGGCCGAGGGACGGTCATGAAGGTGCGAACCACTCACAAGTGATCAGAAATGCCTTTCACATGACCGAGCTGCGACTCAATGGCGAGGCTATAGAACGCAAACATGCCCGTCAGCGCCGCACCACGCCCGCCCGCACACCACGATAATCCTTCACAGCTGCGGACGAGAAAAGCGCTGCTACGCACCTGTTGAAGTTGGTGCCGATGTACGGGCGGAAGATCTCGGCGTGGTGCACGATGTCGAGGCCGACGTCGCCGTCCTGCCAGCCGGCCCGCGTTTGCTTGGCGAGGTCGAGCCATTGTGGGATCTGCGAGAGGCGCCAGGAGGCGGACTGGGTGAAATTGGGGGAGGGGACAGGGAAGTCAGAGGTGAGGAGGAGCATGCGGTTGAGGTGGGGGCGGAAGGAGGCAAGGACGGAGCGGAATGAATGCCGGAGCTCGTCATTGTCGCTATTCGCCTGGGATCAGCACTGAAAGCAAGGGGAGAGGGGGGCGAGGACATACCGGTACATACGGTCAGGCGTGCCCGTGGCGGATGGCCGCCAAGGATCCTTGGAGTCGTAGCGGTGCATGGCGTCCTTCTTGGCCTGCTGCTCGGAGAGGTCCGAGCCGTTCACCCATGTCCAGACAAAGTCGAACTTGGGCGGGTCCGGTGTGGAGCAGGGCACACCCTGGGCGAAATAGGCGTCGATGCATTCCACGGGCAGCGGGTCAGAATGCGGACGGAGCGTCGGTGGCGGGGGGGTGTCCTCCGGGAATACCTGAAAGAGAGGATAGGTCACGTTATGTGAGCTAATGGAAGACGGAACGGGTGGTGGCAGCGGTGTGGATGGGGATGGGGTAGGGACCGGACGAACAACAGTAGGGGTATAAGTTTGAGTAGGTACCTGAAAGGGCATATAAGAAGTGTGGAGAGACGCAAGGGTGTCGTAGTCGAGTTCATAGTCGTCCCAATCGCCGACGTAGAAGCGGACAACGTAGAAGAGAAGGGCAAGGGCGGGGGCGAACAAGATGATGAAGGTGCCCCGACGTCGAAGGAGCGAGCTCGAGTAGTCGGCAAAGCTCTTGGTCGGGGTGGCTGCCCACAGTGGAGTGAGCGGGAGGTAGATGGCGGAGTCGGGGCGGGGACGAGGGATGGAGAGACGAGGGACAGAAAGCCTCATAATTGCATGCGGGGAAGAAGAAGAAGGAGGGGTGAAGGAGGTCATGCAACTTGTATGTAAGGATTCAACAAGACGCTGGGCAGCGAAGGTGCCGCCGCAGCACTCGGCAGCCGAGACACTCGTGAAGACGTGAACGGTGGAAGAGAGGCCGACGATGCCGGTGGCTATCGGACGGTGCGGCAGGCGGCACTCGCGGGGGCAGCGCACGGACGGGGATGGTGGTCGTCGGGAGGGAGGCGGTCGTGTGCTGCAGCCACCGCAACAGCGAGCTCGCCTCCGCCCGCTCGCTCCAAGCCACTCCAAGCCACCTCGGCTCCCCGGCACACACCCGATCGCCAGATCCTGCCACGATCGCCCCGGGCTTGGCACACCGGCCGGGTCCGCGCACCAGCTTAGGTAAGCCGCTCCGTCAGGGGTGATATCATTGAGGTGCTTATCTGATAACTAACCACCCTAATTATCTACCGGAACGTCCGTGTCTGGTTCCCGCTCTGCGGCTGCGCACGCGCGGGCGGCGGCGCAGGAAAGTCGCCGTACTGGTATCCAGCAACTGCAGCACCTCAGCACCTCAGCACACCGCACCACACACAGATGCAACACAGACGCACCTTGTTTCTTTTTCCGTTTCTTCGCGCCCGCGTCCTCCGCATCTGGCTCGGGCTCCTCGTCCAGAATATTTGACACCGCTCCATAGTCAAACGCCTCCACCGCCTCTGCTCCGTCACCCTTTGCGCCCTTCGCCACCCTTTTTCGCTTCTTCCCCCGACGCTGTCCGACCACCACAATCGAGTCGTCTTCCACCGCCTCGGTCCGTGTTCGCTGCGCAGCTGGCACAAATGGTATTTCGACCGCCTCTTCCACGGCTGGACCCGAGTCCGCAGCACCCTCTCCATCCGCATCCGCGCCTTCCTTGACGGCCTTGTTCGCATCTGGCACAGGCGACCCAGAAGTCTCCACAGCCGGCACGGATGGCGCGATGACAAGGGTACCATGAATTCTTGCCACCAATTCTCTGAACCGTATCTTTGTGTCAGGCGCCCCCGATGGCCGCTGTTCACGAACAACTCTTATCAGCTCGATCCCCCCATCCGGGGTCAAACCACTCACCGCACCGACCCGCGACGCCTCCCCGAACAGCGCACTGCCCGCCGCGGCGAACGTCGCACCTCCCTTCACCTCCACCCTCGCCACCACCGGGTTGCTGAACAGCGCGGAGGCCACCGCAGCACCCGCCTTGGGCGCCCGCGATGCTATCAAACCGCGCAAATTCACAGCGTCAGTTCACAACCAGGCACACGACCCGAGCCAGATCAGGCACGCACCATGCGCCCACAGGTCCGTTGAATGAGTGGGAGTGCTCACGGGCCCCGCATGCGCAGGTGCCGCCTCGGCCGCCATCTCAACGCCCCCGTCCGGAATCTGCACTCCAGCCACAGACGCGTCGGCTGGCGCGCCCGCCGGCGCAGTCGCCGTCTTCGCGGCGCCCTTGACCGCGTCCCGGATCGCGTCCAGCAGCTCCTTCGCGCGCCGCCTCACAACCGGCGGCACGGGGTGGAACACCGACAGCAGCGCTGCCATATCCGGCGGCGGCTTCTCCGCAAGCACGAACAAGTAATGGTTCGGCAACACGTACCTATGCGCACCACGAACCGCCATCAGCACCGCACCGACCACACCGAAATTGAAGGCACCCTAGACCACTCACCGCGTGCTCTCGTCTTCCTCCCTCGCCACCCGATTGCGCCACGCATGCACGCACCGGTACACCGCCCTCTGCACCACGTGCACACTCCCCCACCCGCCTGCGCCTCCGCGCCCGCCGTCAGCGCGCCCTTGTTCCACTTCCGCGCGAGCGTGTCCCACCCGCCGGGCCCGCTCCCCTCCTCGTGGTCGTACCGCTCCTTCTCGTACACCCGCAGCGCCGTCTCCTCCGAGCGCGCGAGCACCTCGCGGACGAGTGCGTGCGCAGGCGGCGTCTGGTTCTGGGTCTGATTTTGTGATTGTGACTGCGACGAGGGCGGGGTCCCCGCACGCGATTGGGAGCGCGACTGGCTCTGGGCGCGGTCGAGCAGAGCGTTCCGGAGGTTGTCGTAGATGTAGAGCAGGAAGTGCGTGTCGGAGCGCGCGTAGGCGAGCATCTCCTCCGGTAGGGGCCGGATCCGCCAGTCGGCGAGCTGGTACTTCTTGTCCGCGGTGAAGTCGCAGTACATTTCTAGTAGAGTCGCTAGGCTGTGACGGGGAAAGTCTGTTTATCGTGAGTTATGGACTGTATTATAAGAGAAGATGATTTGCGCACCAAGCACCTTCGACGCGTGGTAAGTGTCGAAGAGGTTCACGATGTATAGATTGAAGTCCTGCTGGAGCCACACGATGTCGCTCTCAGCTCCATGCAGTACCTAGCGCCAACTCCTTCAGCCAATACAATTCACAAATCGTAAAACAACGTGCACACGCACCTGCACGATCCTCGGATCCGTAAACACCTCATTCAGCGCCTCGAGCTCCTCCCTCAGCGCGAGCGTGTCCACGACCCAGTCCTCCTCCCGCGTGCTGACCTGCATTAGACACACGAACCCCGCGAACGTGCGGTAGCTGTGGTGCTCGAGGTCGATCGCGATTTCGCGCGCACCGCGGAGCTTATCGAGCATCGCTGTGAGCGCGGCGGGCGTGGACACCCATGTGAAGGGCGTCACGTCGAAGGAGCGCGGAGCGATGGGTGGGGCGGAGGCGAACATGTGCGCGGGGTAGGGCGTGTGTCGGATTTCGTAGCGGTATGGGTGAAGACTGCGGTAGAATGTTTAGCGGGTAGTTCAGTAATAGCGGATAGTGCACGCACGCGCTCGGTCCAGAGACATCCTCTTCGGAATCCTCGTCCCTGAGGTTATATCCAAGAGGCACCTGCGCATTGTACTTGTGCTTGAGTGTGGGCTGCCACATTGACATGTTCCCGTTGTCCGGTCTTCGCTTGAAGCTGAGCTGCGGCTTCGCGAGTGTGGAGGCATGTTGCAGCGCAGGGTCGAGCCTCCCGGGCGGGGCGTTCGGTCTCTTCGTCTTCTGTGCAGCGGGCTGCGCCGGGTTCACGGTGATCGCTGGGGGCTTCGAGCGGCCGAGAAACTCGTCCAAGCAAATATCCTGTGGGTCGAACACGAGGTGTTAGACTTCCGCTCCTCCGAGCCAGCCCCACAACAAACGAGAAATCATTCCTCACTGCACGCTCAAGCAACTGGTCCACCGGGTCCACGACCATCGCATGGAAACTATCCACCACATCGTCTTCGCTCTCCAGCCTCGCCTTTCCCTTCCTCTTTGCCGCCGCGCTAGAGTCGGTCGTGGAGACGAGAGCGAGCAGACGGTTTGTAAGCGCGAGAACGCGCGCAGAGGCGGCATCGAGGTCCTTCGCGAAGCCGCGGTCGACAGAGCGGTGGAAGGGGATGTCGGCAGGGAGCTGTGCGGCGTGCTTGGTCGCTTTGAGGGCGGCGGTTGGAGGGCGGTGTTGTAGTCGTTGAAGGAGGCGGGCGTGAGTGCCGCGGCGGAGGTAGATGGCTCTGCCATTCTGGAGAGCGTACTTGTAGAGATGTAGAAAACCAAGGTGGACTCGCTGCCAGTGCCGGCGCGCTTGCGAAAACCGCGCTCGTGACCTCGCCACTTTGCCGCCAAAGAGGAAAGGCGCCGACGATGCGTTCCGGAAGTAGCGCAGAGGGCGCACCGGTAATTGGGTACCCGGCGTCGATTGTGTCCCTCACCTCAACAGCCTGAACTGCTTCGCCCCCGCAGGCAACGGGGCCATGCTACTCACCTTCGTCCACAGTTCTTCTCGCCTTTAGACCCGTCAATTCCGGAGCACTGCACTTTCATTTCATGCCGCGCGAAGTCAGGCGGAACACGCTACTACACATCCCGGACATGCCTGCTCCGCGAACGACCCACTGGGACGACGAGGACGAGGATGATAGCACCCCTCGCGTCCGAAAGCGATGGTTCCACTACATTCCGCTCTTTCGTAAGTCTTACCCCCCGGTTCCGTTCTGGAGCTCACGTCGAGCACGGCAGTGGCTGTGCTTCTAATGCTGCTACCACACCCTTCTCTTCTGCTCGTCCTCGTCAACTACCACCTCCGTGTGCTTCATTCTACATCACGCTTCCTCACGCATCTCCTCGCCACATATACTCTTACCTTCCTGGCTTTCTCTTCTCTCATCCTGATACTCGCGCGCGACCCTGGACCCGTAACTTCCCCGAAGGCGGCGGAGGAAGCGGACGACGAGCGGGAGGACATGGACTTCATGCAGGCGCTCCTTGCGACCGATAACGACGAGCCGCACGACAAGCGGCCGAGCAAGTGGTGTCGGAAGTGCTCCGCGCCAAAGCCCGAGCGGACACACCATTGTAGTACATGCGGTAGGTGTGTCCTCAAAATGGGTGAGTTTCTAGGCTCGCATGGTCCGCTGAATGTACGTAGTGACGGTACCGAAAGACCACCACTGTTACTGGCTAGGAGATAAATGTATTGTAAGTCCTGCTACCGTTTGCCGGACATTGACTGCGGACGTCCCTGACACCGTTCAAGGGCCACCGCACGTACGCCGCGTTCCTCCATCTACTCACCTGCATTGTATTGCTCTCTGTTACATCGCCGTCCTGTGTGTACAAGCGGTGTACTTCGCCTTCACCAACCCACTAGCCATCGTACGTGTCTAGCGCCCGGCGTCCGTAAGTACCAGCAGTTCACCATCCTAATCCGTCGCGCAGGACGAGAACACACCACTGCACGACATATACCTCGCATTTTATGGAATCGTCATGGCCCTCGTGTTCGGGTCTTTTGGATGTACCACATATACCTCACGACGTGCGTGCGCTTCCAGATGGCGTGCTCACTGCTCATCCCCACCTGACTTCCCCTCCCCTATACATACGCACAGGACGAACCAGACGACGCTCGAGAACGTGTCCCCCTTCCTCCTCCTCCGCCATCTCCCGCCGCTCCCGCGCTCCTCGCCGGACGCGCAGTCCCTCCCCGACGCGCCTCTCGAGCACCAGCTCTCACACGCGCAGCGGCGCCTCGTGCGCGACGCGCACTTCCACGTCCGGGTGTACGACGTCGGCTGGTGGAAGAACTGGGCGCAGGTCGCGGGGTGGGACCGACCATGGGGATGGGTGCACAAGTTGCTGGTGGGGGGCGGGTGGTGAGTGGTTTCTGTTTTTTTATTGCCGCGGGCGGCGAGGTGACGTGGCCGCGTGGGCGTGTTTTTCTAGCAAGGGTGACGGGCAGACATTTCCTAGGAATCCGCGGGCGGACAGTATGTTGCCCGCCTGGCTGCTGAGTTGTCTCTGTAGACAAGGACTAATTATTTCCGCGGACGTTTGTGCACTGACTAATGGATGTCTCTTCCCCGGCGACTACTCGTCAGCAGCGTCGCTGACTATCTCTCTATGATGGCAGCTGCCAACTATCCTGCGTGCTTATAGAGCATTCCCCCCAAGGGTATGTTTGCAGTTAGTGCAGTATCCTCATTGCAAATACCGGGATGACCTCGTTGGGTGCTAGTGTTCAGGTAAGTGCTGGCGCTTACAGTGTGTCTCCGGGCCACCAATGCTGTGCGACTAACACGCATTCAGCATCCATAGGTTTGCTCAGCAGATATGTCTCCTTGTATGCTGTTGCATGCGCAAGGTACATCTGGTTTTGTTTCGTCGATTAGCTCGGCTATTACTCCGATGGTCTCGGCAAGCCGATTCTAAGGGCAAGCCGAACAACTATCTTCCTGACGGTGCAAAGGTACAGTCGCTTGGAGGGCAGGTACTGCCTTTAACTGCCAAGCAGCCGACCGCGAGCGACTGCGACTAACATTGTTGGAACTGAATTAGACAATGCGGGGTAAGTTCTGTCCTCGCTGTCCCGGTGACCTCGCGCAGCTGGCTTCCATGGCTTCGCCAACACGATTCTTCTCCCCGACTACGGTGACTCACCCCTAGGTCCCCATTTGACCCTGACGTGAGGCCGTACGGGACCCGGTTTGCATCCGTGGTCGCGAGTCTCGACACGCGGATAGAGGCCGCGGGGTTCGCGGAGCCACAGGCGATGTGTTAGCGCCTTCTGATGGGGCCAGAAGGTGTAACACGACGTGAGCGGACGTAGGCGTGCCGTCAGAGCGGAGGCGTCTTTCCACGGACTGTCTTCGTCAATGAACAATTAGGAAGCGCGAGTGTGGCTCCAGGTCAGGCTGGTGGGTGACTCGGTTGTGTTTGATCAATGCGATGGTATGACTCAGCCTGTCTCGAGGTATTCAAATCGCTGAAGAGGTCTAGCAGGTATGGTCAAGTACTACCATCTTCCCGCGCGGATGGACGTCCGAGGACCTTATACAGCCGGCAATTCGTGCCGTTTGCCCAATCTCGCTGCTGGACAGCACCGAGGCATCGCCGCGCTGTTCGGTTACGCTTACACACGAGACCACGATGCAAAGGTATGCAGATGTCAATTGCGACCGCAGCGTAGGCTCCAAGACGAGCTTCTTGCTACACGTTCGTAGGGGACACATGTGCGATGTTACCCCATGCGAAGGGGAACGTGTCCGCCGTGTTGGGTCTCTCGTACACGGATCTCATCACAGGCTCGGCTGGGTGTGATGGGGGGCACTTTGTATGGCAGCGCGAAGGCGGGTGACTGGGAGAAACAAGGAATAGGCAGAGCGGGCAAGCGGGCGAGGCCAGTCAGGCGTTCTGCGCGGTGCTCACTTGATGTCATCCCCTGCTGACATAATCCCCCTGGCAGACGCGCCCAGCGCCCGTCCGGCGCCTCTGCGACACCAGCGTCACCACCGCGACCCCGCCCGCTCACCCGGTGCGGCTTAAATACTCCCCGCCACCATGTCGCACTCGCTGCATCGTCCGCCCCTTACCACCACCACGACCGCGCCCTTTCACGGCCACACATCCATGGCGTCTGCACCTGCAAACGTCGACATCATCAACGTCCGCGCGGACAGGCGCCTTGCCGATGGCGAGGACACCATCCGCGCGCAGATCGTCGCTGGCCTCTCCAAGCCTACGGCCTAAAATCTTGCCGACGATGCTGCTGTATGACGACCGCGGTCTGAAGCTCTACGACGACATCACACGAAGTCCCTGAGTACTACCCCTTTTCCGCCGAAGAGGAGATCCTCAAGACCCGTGCTGACGAAATCGCGCGCGTCATGCATGCTGCCGACGGCGGCGAGGTCAAACTGACGAAGTCGTCGTCGAGCTCGGTGCTGGGTGAGTGCATCCTTCTTGCCGTTGCTTCACACACTGGGCTGGTTCTCCGCCACTCCGTGTCGATCATCCTCTATCAAGTTGTGTGTGCGTGTGGATCGTCGATCTCGTCTATCTCGCTATCTGGATCCGTTGTCGAGCCCCATGCCCGGGGCCCCGACCGCGGCTGTTCCCTTCCCTCCACGACATCCCGCCATCACGTGTCCCACTAGCATCTCAGCTCGAACTTCGGACTCCAGCGACGAAGCGCGGAAGCTAACCTTTATCTACAGGGCACTGCGCAAGACCTCACACGTCCTATCAGCACTCTCAGGCTTGGTTCCCCCCACAATGGCATCGCCGATCACCTACTATGCCCTCGATCTACAGGAACGCGAGCTTGCTCGCACCCTGAAAGAACTAAACGCGTCCGACGTCGGCGCGCAAATCAGCGGCAAGGTCTCCACCCGCGGCCTGTGCGCACGTATGACGACGGCCTCAAGTTCATCCGCGAGGGTGGCCTCGAGGGCCGCACTGGTGTCGACCGCGTCTCCGCGCGACTCTCCGAGCAGTACAAACTAGACAAGACAGGTCGGGACGTGTCGCCTAGTTCTGCCTCCGAAACCTCCTCTGGAAGAGGCAGCGACGAGACTGACGAAACTCCGCCGTCGACGCCCGGCGACCACTCGCCGCTGCACATCCTATTCTTAGGATCGTCTCTGGGCAACTTTCCCCGAGGCGATGACGCTGCGTTCTTGCAGTCCCTGCCGCTCCGCACCGGCTCCGGCGACACGCTGCTTCTCGGCTTGGATCGTGACAACGACCCGAAGGATATTGAGACCGCGTACAATGACCCACAGGGCGTCACCGAGGCTTTCATCATGAACGGCCTCAAGTGTGCTGGAAAAGCGCTAGGCGACGAAGGCTTGTTTGTCGAGAACAAGTGGGCATACGTTGGCCGATACAACAAAGACCAGCGTATGTTCTGTTACTTGTGATCCATGCTAGCTTCACTCAATGTTGGGCAGGCCGTCATGAGGCATTCTACAAGTCCCTCGAGGACCAGACCATCATCGACCCTGTCAGCAAAGCAGTCTACTCGTTCAAAGCAGACGAGCTCGTCAGTGTCGAGGTATCACATAAGGTACATACCTCGACGTAACCCATATGCCATGTCTTCTGACCGGTCCTCTGTAGTACTCCGACCGCGATGCCTACAGACTGTTCAACGAAGCGAACCTGCGACCCATTCATCGCTGGACCGACAGCTCCTCGCGCTACTCCCTCTGGCTACTCGAGCGCCCTTCCTTCCTCTTCTCCCTTCTCTCACCGCCCGAGGCGGAGCGCTCCCGTTCAGCATGCCGACGCTGGACGAGTGGCAGACGATGTGGGCCGCGTGGGACTTCATCACACAGCGGATGATCCCGCCGTCGATGCTCTTCCAAAAGCCGATCGACCTCAGGCACATCTGCCTGTTCTATATGGGGCACATCCCGACGTTCTTGTCGATTCATCTGTGTAGACTGCTCGGAGAGGCGGATACAGAGCCTGCGCACTTCAAGGTAAGGGTTTTAAGGTCTGCGCTCGCAGTAGTTGGGATGCTTATGGTCCTTGCAGTACATATTTGAAGTAAGATCAGCAGAGAGCCGTCTCTGGTCCATTTATGTCCGAAGAGCGAGATCCTGACGTACTTTTTAGCGAGGGATCGACCCCAACGTGGACGACCCTACTCAGTGCCATGTACGTCATCTATCTCATGAATGGCTTCACACTGACACCTCCACAGTCTCACTCAGAGGTTCCCACGCGCGACGAAGACTGGCCATCTGTCGCCGACATCCTTCAGTACCAGAGCAGGGTGCGGAAGCGGATCATCAAACTTTACGACGACTTCGAGTCCGGGTCGGTCGTCCTCACGAGGAAGATTGCTCGCGTCATGTTCATGACTCTCGAGCACGAGGCGTTCCATGCTGAGGTAAATGGCATGCATCGTAATGCTGTATCATCCTGACGGACGCCCGCATAGACGCTTCTCTACATGCTGCTCCAGCGTGCCGGTACGGGTACGATTCCTCCAAGCGGGTTCACTCCCCCCGCATGGTCCACTCTCACCGACTCCTGGGACCGTGCTCCACACCCGAAGGATCGCACTGTGAAGCTCGGACCGGCCACCATCACGCTCGGGCATGATGATGATGAGGCGGATGACGCCTCGACTGACGTCGCAACGCACGAGTTTGGGTGGGACAACGAGCATCCGAAAAGGCAGGTCGATGTTGGCGCGTTCAAGATCGAGTGGCGCCCCGTGACGAACGGCGAGTTCTACGAGTACTATGTTGACAAGGGCAAGGACGTGATGAAGTTCCCCGCGAGCTGGGTCGAGATCAATGGCGAGGTTCATGTACGCTCATGTTCCTTTCTATATGTCGTCTCCCGTGTTGACACGAGGTACCAAGGTCCGCACGCTGTATGGTCCGGTTCCCATCAAGGTTGCCTGGCACTGGCCCATCATCACCTCGTTCGAGAACTTGTCCACCTACGCGAGTGTGAAGGGCGGACGCATCCCAACTGAGCCCGAGCTCCGCATCTTCCTTGACATGTTCGAGAGTGGCTATGAGGGTGGTGCAAACGTCGGTTTCAGGAACTGGCACCCTACCCCGTGAGTACCTCGAGCAGCGAGCGATCCGAGCACCGTCTCATGACTTATTTGTGCACAGGGCGACTATGGGAGGGGAGCGAGACGGAGGAAGGGACACAATGGGGGTGTGTTTGAGTGGACGTCGACTATTCTTGAAAAGCATGAAGGCTTTGTGCCGTCGCGCCTTTACCCTGGGTATGGCATCGTCTACTACACTTATCCGTGCATCCATGCTGAGATCCGACGGTTCACGCAGCTACTCCGTCGACTTCTTCGACGGACATCACCAGGTTGTGGTAAGTGCACCGGTTACATCTCCACTCAATGTTGCTTATACCTCTCAACCAGATCGGTGGCTCCTATGCGACGATCCCTCGGCTTGCGGAGCGCCGCACCTTGCGGAACTACTACCAGCACAACTACCCGTATGCTTGGGTTGGCGCGCGTATTGCGTATGATGTTTAAAACGGGAGTGTGAGGATCTCGAAGTGCTATCATCTTTGTACAGTATGAAGTGATGTACGGTTTAGACGTCTGTCCAACGCTGACAGCATCGTGGCGCGAGGACGTTCAGAGTTCAGACACTGCTGCAGCAAGACGACGGGGATTTGTACCCACCCATTTGCAGGCTGGAGAGCGCGCAGCAGTTGGCTGACAGGTATGTGTACCGGGTTCCTTCAGTTTGCGTCTACCTATGGGTCCATCGCGAGCGGGTCTTCGTCCTCCGACCTGTTCATGCCACACTGCACTTCCATGCAGGCACCCACAACCAGACACGCGCATACATTGACCGATATGGCGCACGACCCCGACTGCCGTGACTTTCCCGTCGTGCCCACCCACACGTCGTACGTTCTCCCTAATAACTGGGCTGGTTCTCCGCCGCTAGTACTTCATCTTGATCGCCGTCTGTCAAGCTATGTGTGCGTTGGATTGTCGATCTAGTCTATCTCGCTATTTAGACGGGACGGTGGCTGTCCCCTTCCCTCCGCGACATTGTACCATCAGTGTCCGACGAAGAGGGAACGGGGCGGTGAGGCAAGAAAAGGAAGAAGCATTCAGAGTCGCAGTTGGTACGGCGCGCTTGTTGGTCATGCATGCCTGCAAGTGACATACTCAAGAGTCGCAGACATCCTGTCTCGACCACGCAGGTCCACGTCACGTTCGCCCCAGAGTCAATTCAACCAACATCCCGGCTCGGTATGGGTGTGGTACCCCTACCGTGATCCGTCAGAGCGCCATCGTGGGTCGCCACGGTCATCGAATTATCCTTGAGATCAATTCACCGTTCATGTACATAACACTAGTTGAAAAAGTCATATACAGCCAGATGCGTATATGATGTGTTCGTTCTGATCACGAATATAGACTCGTGGGTGTCGATCTAGTGTGGGTCGACCCGGACAAACTTGATCGGTGTTGATTCATGTCTATGTAGGCAAACTTGATGTGAGTGATTCAGGCTCTAGGAAGTGTGCAGCATGAAGACACACCATGCTTTGCGAGCCCGTCGGAGGAAGACTCAAGGACTCGGCGGGTTCATTGACTGCGCCTTGCTTAACATAGTTCCTTACATTTAGCCTAGAATCCGATATTAGGTGAGCCAACAGCCACAGAAAGCCCACTGTATGTAGTATTTGCACTTACATGGCGAGCAGTGAGTTCGCATACACTGTTGAAGGGTCATTAGCATGCATTAAGACAACAAAGGGTGAGATGTTGATACAAACATGTTCCACTTGGAGCTTGAAATATCTCCGAATAACAGGTGTTGTTTCGTGCATCTAGACAATACTGCAGAACACATAAGCATCATCGTGATATGTGAGTGTGGCTTGTGTGCAGACCATGACAAGTAATATGACACTTATTGCGCTGCAAAATGAAGGATTCACTTGTCGGATCACCAAGTGCTACATATAACATACATACCAGAGCAATACTCCACGACTGACAATGTAATTGAAAAGCCTCGTGATAATGTGTCCAGTGCTAGAGCCATATGATCATGAATATCCACTACTCTATTCTGAGCATAAGACTTCACCTTCGAAACCCAGTTCTGCTGTGTTGTAAAGCATAGCATAACATGCAAGTTATATATGTGTCTGCGACCAGAGCTGCAGCAAGCACAAAAACAGCTGCATCCTATGACAGATGAGGTCAACAGCACTTTAATCAATAGCCTTAACAGCTCAATAAAAGGCACATACTAATTCATCAGCCATGACAGTATTGTAAGTCAGAAGCTTTGTTGATCTTGAGGACATGAAGCTGTTGAAGAGCCAATGATGTAAGATAGGGATTTGACAGCTGCTACATCACAGTACTGTGCAGCTGACCAGTTGTACAATGTCCCTGTCACACAAGTTATGTGGTTAGAACCCATTCACATCTACTTGGCAGCTAACAGCAAGGTTTACAAACATATAGTTGAGCCTAGTACAGGCATAAAGAGTTAGATTCACATCTGCTTGAGTGATGATTGATCAGTTTTGTAAAATTTCTACATACCTGATGACAGAAGCACAAACATAACCTTTCCAAGTTATCTGTGGTGTGAGGACTTGAATAGACACAAGCCTGAGGTAGAACATCTCACTGAGGGTAGAGTTATGATGATCAATGAATGATTCATTTTTGGTGCTGTCATATACTGCTTGAGACCAAGATGCAGCTGCTGCTTGAATTCACAACTCACATAGGAGACCATGGATCTTCTGCAGGAAATACCTAAATAGAGGTAAGGCTCAGAGGCTGCAGACAGACTAGCACTGGTGTTTACTTACCATTGCACTACAACTTGTAGTATTCCCTGGTCAAATCAATTGTTTACATAGACTGCATGACAACCATCATTAGGCAGTCAAACTCACCTTCAAAATCTGCTCTCCCTGTTTTAAGGAAGTTATACACATTGAATAGCACCTACAAAACCTTTAATCTTACACAGATATAGCTGATGAAAAAGTGTTAGTCAGAACCAGTAATAATACCCCTGAGAACATAGCCATATGGTGCACTGGGAGGAACACAGAACTCACGGATCCACTGGGAGAAGTGCAAATATATTGCCATGTGCAGTCACAAAATAGTCCCATAATTGCTATGGTAAACAGCAAAGGGTAAGCTGTGGTTCATGGCCCACTTCAAGTAAGGTCCACTCACATGTGCTTCTGTGATAATTTTTGCTGTGTCAAGGAGCCTATAAAGGGATCATTCATTGATCAGTCATTTGTAAAATCCTCTTCATTAAACACACCATATTGCCACTACCTGTGTCAGACAATGAGTGTGCTGCAGTGAATAAATGTACAGATGATATTACCCATGACTTCACAGCACGAGTGTCACTTTGATAGTTACAGAAGTAAAATAGTGTCTGTGCCACAGTAACACCATACAGTCTGCATATGGACAGTGGCATCATGAATTCAATGATTGACACAATCAAGGGATGACTCACAGGTGAGACAGAATGAGGCCAGCAAAGAGTGGACCTGTGTAGTTGCTGATTACAAGCTTCATTTCGGCTGTTACTTGTGGATAGCAGTGGTCGTCAGCATCGTCGACCTTGGTATATATATGCGAGTCACAAACCTCCAATCAGATCATGATATTGACGTTAGTCTACAATATGTGCGCTGCCAGTGATAGCTGTCAGAAGCCTGTCAGACGCATTCGGAAACAAAAGTTGCAGACGGTAGAAGACATCACGGTAGACTCGAAATAGAACAGCTTGTACACCGACTCCTGAGGAGGCTGGCGTTCATAGGACCTGGAAATGGGATATGTTACAATCATTCAATTGGTATCTATCATTCACGGCAACCTCACCTTCGATGGACTTTGCAAATGAAACACGGTGGTGAATTGGCCGCCCGTCGACGCTCATGGTGACTGACATCTCACGTCATACACATTTGCAATGGCGACGATAATAGAAATGACTGACCAATTTACAGCGAGCGAGGCGCGGGGGCTTGGAGCATCCGATTTATGATACGCCACTCGGCAGATACGTTACAGAGCATCACGCACGAGTATTTCTGCATAGCACTGGCAGGGACTAATCCCTTGCAGTGTTGGTGTTCTTGAAGGTTCTTCATAAGTAGGTCCGTCTCGTTCAACTCATTTCGTGCCTGCGTTTTCGGCCGTCAGAGAGGGCAGATTACCAGAAACCGAGTATCCTCCTCCCCCCCAAGGCGTGCGCGATGGTGAGTTCTGGCAGGCCAATCTGTCAGTATTGTCAATCAGTCGAAGACATGAAGAGACATCGTGAGCGTAGTACGTACTCAACTGCCAACTTTCGACCAGTTCTGCGGTGTCTCTGCTTCTGTTATGCGCGCCGAAGGCTTCGGCGAACAAGTTTTGAGGGCTAAGCTTTCGTCACGTCTGTTTTGGTGGGACTCTTCAATCGTTGACGACGGCTAGGAATAATGATAATTTCGATACTTGGTGTGCCTGTGATACCGATGGATGCTTGTCAACTTGAACTTGTTCTGGCAGGACGAGTCGGAGATCAGTCGCTCCGTGTAACAGTGCCATTGATTATGCCGAGCACCAGGCAGTAGGTCACGGTAGCAAGGCATGAAGCATAGGCTACAGAGCACGACCTTGGCACGACCGTTCGAAAAGCTGTAGCTCAGCGGTGTCTTGGCTCCGAGTCAGTTTAGTTCGAGAGTGAGCGAATCCAACACAGTAGCGCTAAGCGGCGGGCGCTGTGCCCGCCACAACCGCGTTCATCACGTGGTGCTGTTGATCGCGTCGGACTCCGCCGCGGTGGTCTTCAGCCACAGGCGAGACCGGAACACGACTCAGACCTCAACCTCGATGTCGACGCACACCAGTCCCTCGCACCCCATTTCACCCCTTCCGTATCGGGCGCTCTACACTTTGCAACGACTCCTGCGTCCTTCCGATGGCCTCCATCGCTCCAGGCTCCCCCGGTTCACGACATCGCGCGCACGCCTCGCCAGCCACCGAACTGCTGCCTTCAGCCAACATGATACGCTCTCTAACCGGAGTGGAATCTAACCCTAAGCATTTATGGGGCTGTTCTGTGCTCATCACTCAGCTCAGGGACTACAGCGTCGCGTCTGGTGATGTGTCCCGAGCGATGGCACGTTATATGGATGGGAGTCCTTGCCTGACGGTGCGCAGTCGTGTGGCCTGAATCTTGCAGTTCATAGCCTCGGTACAATCCTTACTACCTGCTCTGATGATTTGCTCGAGGTGATCTCTCTCAGCGCCCTTTATCGCATCTCCAGAAAGTGCCCCATACCCGCGTACCAGTCGACGCGTCGTCCAGACATGTACGCACAGATCTCCGCCAGCGTCTGCCTAGCGACCCCTCGCCTCTTGCATCATTGTCACCGCACAGGATGCCATGCCTTCGGGCGTGCGTCCAAGCATGAGATGGGGGAAGGCGATGCCGGAAAGCGCGAGATTCGTCTGCGATGATGGCGGGCTGCGGGGTGGGCACCAGAGTAGCGTCGCGGGTTCATAACGGGCTTGAGCTCCGAGAGTGAACGAGCCACGCACATCCAGACAGGTGGTGACCAAGGAGCAGTACCAGGCGGATAGGTCACGTACAGGCCTCGATGCCTCCTTTGCCTATCGTCGCTCTCTGCTCGATACTGGCCGCAGCGCATTCTGACGGCTTGGAACGACATCCTGTATAACCTTCTCGACGCGTATTCCCGCTACGAGCATTCCGCACAGGGCACGAGCAGCCCGAGCCCCCGGGCTCACCTCCGAGGGCCAGGTCGTAGGGCATGGCCCACCCCCGGCGATATTTATGTGGCTTTCTGCTCGCCGTAGGCTGCCTCTGTGTCCGCTGCTTTCCCCAAGGCAGCGAGCAGGGGCTGGAGCCTAGAAGCGTCGGCTGGCGCATCGAAACTGCATGGCTTCGCGGCTAAGTGGTTGGCTGGAGCACGGGGTGTGCGTGTGTTTGTCTGGACGCCAACGGGACGCACAGGAAGGCGCGGCGCAGCGTTGTGGAGGTAGCTTGGGCGCAGGAGGGGTATGGGTACAGGTGCGTGTGGGCCGCGTCGAAACAAGAGATGGTCGTGGCCCGGAAGCCCGCGTGGAAGGGGGGATCGGTGACGATGGTGGTTCGCCGCTAGACGTATGGTCCTCCCGTGTCTGTTCAACCGCCCCCAACTCCTGTCCTTCCAGCACAGGAAGGCGGACAGCGATCACCCACCACACGTACTCGGTTCTCACTGTGCTGTTGTCGTTCTGCACTGTCCTTGGTCATGCTGTGGCGATCAGGCTTGCGTCTGTACCCAGCCGAGGCCTCTGGGGCGTCTGAATGGCTCCTTGACAACTTCGTTTCTGACGTTCTGCGGAGACCTGTCTCCTCGAACTGGTTCTTCTGGCTCTGTTCTCGCCCTTCCGTGCAGCATTCGGTTTTGGAAAGCTCCCCGCTGTCGCCGCTGGGCGCGATGTTCGGTGATCCTGCGGCTGGTACCGCTTGCTCTGTTCCTCTCACCCACGCAGATCTCCGTGAAGGACGGCCCACTGGCTTCAGATTCCTCCCGTTGTCGTCAGAGTTGCGGTTCCTTCGGGACGCCGTAACAGAGCTTCGTGCTCGAGTCTGACGACGGTGAGTGCCCTCGGGCCTGGCAGTGCAATCAGCTGGTGGGTGCGGTTCCCTGGCGGCAGGCTCCTCTGTGTGGGGCGCAGGGTTGCAGACGAGTGATGAGTAGGCCGTGGGTGAGGACTCGCTTCTCAGTATGTTGCAGCGCGTGTGGGTGCTGGATGGTGTATGCGTGCAGGAAGGCGGGGCAGTCCAGTTGGCTGGCTCGGAGGCAGCGAGCGGGACGTCGGCGTGGACTGTGGTCTGCGAGAACGCGTTGGGATGGTCGGAAAGCGTCTTATGCTTTGGTGGCGTTTGCCTCCCACAATATAGCATGGTCCTCTGGCCCCTCGTGGGTAAGGATGGCGTTGGAAAGTCAGGCATGGTGGTGGAAAACCCGAAGCCCTCGGGCGCTAGGGGAAGTACTATGGAGCAGGAACTGAGAGCGCGCGTGTGGGCGTGGGTCTCGTGTTTGAGCTGGTGTCGTTGCGGGGGAAGAGGGCGTGGTCCTGCCCTCTTCGAGAGTGCGTTGACAGACGACGTGCGACGCAGCTTGTCTGCGTAAAAATGCTTTCGAAGCAAATTTTTTCCACATTGATGTCTTCGTGACATCTTGCTCTGTCTCCGTACATACCCTGGTTGGCGGTGGTCGTCCGAAAACAGTGCGTGCTAATGGCTTTCCGATTCGCTCTTCGAATGCTGACACTGGGAAGCGCACAGATAGCACTTCAACTCTACGACATTTATTGGCCATCAGCATACTGGAGATCGTAAGCACATCATCTGTCCATGTCTGTCTAAGCTATATCTATGTTGCCCCCGTTCTGTCTGATCGCACTCGAGAACGGGTCTTGCATGTCAGGCCTCTTGTCTTGTGCCAGTGTCCATCCTATCAACAGTGTTGATCTAGTCTTGATACTGCATCAAATGAGCGTTGAGCAATCTGTGACATGCATCGCTCTCGGGCTTCCGTCATGTTCGTCAGACCATCAGTCATGTACTACCAATACAAATCTATCGCTCTCCAAGTAGATCTCAAGACTCAAAGTCATGCAATGCATGTTTTCAGTTATCGCGTGCTGTGGACCATTCGATGTTCACGGAGGCGCGCATACGATCACCATACCGGATTGTGACGAGGAGCATCCTGCGTACACAGCTCAGTCTCCGTTGTCAGGACGCGCAGATGGTAACTCACAATAGTCCTGTCCATCCGAGGACCGTCGCAGCCAGGTTCGTCCATACGAGTCCGAAGTTTTCAAGCGAGGGTAAGATTGCGGTCGTCATGATGGCCATCAACATTGACCGCAGTGCGCTGAGTGGCAGGCAATCATCGTTAAGCACGGCTGTGGATCATGCACGAAATGTGACTCACTTGCACGCCGACATGACCTCCGCACTTCGCGAGTGCAGCACATCGACGTTGTATGCGGACGCAGGGCTGAGCGCGAGGTCCACCTATCCCAAAGCGTACGTTAGTCTCATCTACAGATTTCCAGAATTGGCGACCGTGACGCACGCCGATCCCGTTAATGAACAGCGCGACCACATTGAGTGCGATCCCTAATCTTCCGGGGACGAACTCCGTAAGGAGCCCGCAGGCCAGGGTGCTCGCCGGCGCGAGGACAGACCCGAGGAGAGATGCGCGCAGGCGGTCCTCGGGTACCCAGACGCCCTTGCGTTTCGCGCGCCACCGTACGACCGTCATGTCAGAGAGCTTGCCGGCCAAAGGCGCGCCGACTAGTAGGGCAGATCAGTTATGCGTGATGCGCGCGTGCGAGAGGAGAGGAGACTGAACTGATGTTGCCGATTCCTACTGGGAGGAAGAGGAGACCGACTAAGGCTTCGTTCGTGATGTTGTATCGCTTGCCCTGTAGGCTCCTGATCAGGACAGCGTAGGGAATTAGGCTGGAGTGAGACTCACTAGGGTGTATGCCAGAGGGATGCTCATGACTAACGCATGATTGAGCGGGCGTGTTCTTCGGGAAACATAGTACGTCGTGCCAACACGTACCGAAATCGGTCATAAGCACTACCGTGGTGGCAAGCGTCTTCAAGACACGCAGCTCAGTATCCCAACGGTGATCTAAGGTATTCCGGACTTACCACCACGAGCAAGTTGGGTGCCCTCAACAATGTCAGGCTCTTGAGCGGGTTGAGCCAGTGCCATCTCCACTTCTCCTCGCCGAACTTGTGGTCCGCTCCGCGGGTGCCCGGATGTGATGTTTCCGGGAGCAAGTAGTACATGACGATGAACATGAAGACGCTGAGGAGGGCAAAGATCATATGCAGTGCGCGCCAGCTAGCGAAGTGCACGGACAAGCCTCCGAGAAATGGCGCTATTGCGGGCCCTATGAGGGCAGCCTGTACAGTGGACCAGTTGTATGAGTCGCGATGTTCTCCTACCGGTGCAGGTTATGAAGAGGGGCGGCACGCTCAGACTCACGCCAAAGAATATACCCATTGCGCCCCCGCGTTCTTCGAGCGCATAAAGGTCACCGACGACTGCTGCTCCTACGCTCATGCCGCTAGAGCAGCCTACTGCTTGTAAGACACGCCATGCGAGTAGCTGAGTAATTGAGGTTGAGGTTGCGACGCCGATCGAACCTATACATAGAGTTGGCAAGGAGTAGAGGTAGATAGGGCGACGTCCGTCTTTGGACCAAAGTCAATAACGAGGGGAAGGGGACGGAAAATCCAGTGAAGGAACTCACAGAAGCCCGAATAAGAGGCCCACACCAGGTTCCCGAATGCCACTGAGAACATGGCAATGTTGATTGTTAGGCTGTTCATGGGATGAGCGGCGCGCAGGGTCTCCGACTTTACAGTTCACAAGGCATACCTGATCACGGATGGTGTTGAGTGCATATCTATTACTAGTTGCGGTATGGCTGGGACGAAGGATCCAGTGACCAACACTGAACCGACGGCGACCGGATATGTCTTTAGTGCATCGTACCTTGAACCACGACCAATTATAAGCACTTACGAGGAACAATACCGGCGCAAGAGACTAGAGCAAGGATGACACGCTTCCGTGCGGGCGAGAAGCGACTGTAGAGGGCAGCATGCGCGTCCGCGGGCTTCTGCGGTACGAGGAGAGCTGTCTCCTCGCTCGGTACGTGGTTGGCCATGGCCGTAGTAGACAGCTAGTAGGCTGCGAGGACGCAGGGGATGTGTAGGGCAGCGAAGGCAAGGAGTAGACGAGTCGGCCTGGGTTCATGTATATTTGAATCGCGGAGTAATCGCGGCCCCCTGTACGTACGGTACTGATAACAAGTCATACTTCGTATCAACCTTTGAACCCGGCGGCAGGTCCCGATCACTCAGATCCCGATCGTACGACCGAGGAACGCGTGAGTTTGTACCTTGCCCTCCCAGTCAGGCTCGGGTCACTATGATATACGGTCTAAGCCAGTTGCAGTGAGAGCTGCAAAGTGGATGACTTTGAGTGGAAATGTGCGTATGGATGAGGACCAGAGTGAATTCGCGATAAGAGACCAGTCAGGTGGCATGGTCTCTGAGTCACGGTTGCTAACTGAGACTCAGAGATCCCGAGTCAGGCAGTGCAGCCAAGACTGGGCAAACCGACTGCTTCAGGTGAATAATAATTTGTGATAGTGGAACGATGTGAGGTCCAGACAGAATCGCTGGGGATGTAGACGAAGCGGATTTCAGCGGCAGCAAGGCAGCAGAGCAAAGTCGCAATTCATGTGCAAGTCTTCGCATCCTGCAGTGGGAAAGAAAGCAGGAGTCAATCGGAGGTCGCTGAGGACCGCGCACATGACCAAACGTGGTGGCGCGCCGTCGTGCGAGCGCCGAGCGTCCCTTGCCCGCCTGGCAGTCCCGACTCGCACCAGCATCCACGGACCCTCAGGCTGAACCACTTGCTCTCTGCCTGTGCTCTGACATACATACGGTATACTCACCACCTACATCACTGGCGTAGGCTCGGCATACCTGACTGGCTTTCCTTCTTGGCAGGCTAGAGTCTGCGAGGCGAAGTTACCGACCTGACTCGGAGTAAGGACGGCTGAGGCTGGGCTAGCCCTGGACGGGACGCAAGACCGAACTCGTTTTTGGAACAACACAGACACCATGGCTCTCCATACAAGCACTGTGATCTCCAGAAAAGTCTCAGACATCCTGGCCCACGTCAGCCGGGTACACCTCGCTTTCCCGGACCATATCCCCCTTTACTCGCTTTCGGCTACTTCCGAGGTAGACTCGAGAAACCTGCAGGATCTTGTTTCAAGCGTAAGCGCGCTATCCCCACATTCAGTAGGATGTCTATCCGCGCCCATACCCTCGAGCAGCCCGGCTCTGCAGGCTAACATAGCGTGCTCGATGGCTATGTTTCGCAAGGACCATGCTACGGCTTTCAGAAGTGATATACCCGGGAGGAGCGCACCTCAAGTCGGTCGATGGCACGCATTCCGGAAAAAAGACCAGACTGGCTTTGGTACCGGAGAGACCGTCCAAGCCGAGACCGAGAACGTCAACTGGGACGATGTGTGGGCGAAGAACGTCGACGTGCCTTCCCTTCCTTCCGAGCTGCAAGCCATACCGTACGTTTCTTCTATGTCCGCATTCGACGCGGCATGGTGATGGCTCGCTCCTTCAACAGAGCAGATGAGGCGCATACAATCATCTATCTGTCTGACGGCTCCCCGGAGGGTCTTTCAAACTCGCTCCAAGCACTGCCCATGGCTACCAAGGTCCTATATGCTTCGCATCGGACGAGGAACATGCATATCTGATCTACAGGATCCCTGAAGATAGGGCTCATCGCGTCTTCCACGCCATTCATCACCGGCCGGCCATATACCCTCTTTCATGGCAAATCAGTGTACTCGTCTGGTGCAGTAGGCCTCTGCATCCACTCATCTTCTCGTCCGGAGCTACACGTAGACTTTCCGGGTATGCAGGCCCTGACGCCGCCCATGGTCGTTACAGAGTACGTGCCCTGATGTTTCTGTGCTCCCTTCTGACCTTTCGCCTTCTCCTCAGATCGGAAGGAAACCTGGTCCTCGCGCTGGACGATGAAAACCCATCGCGCGTGCTCCTCTCAGCAATCGAGAGCGGAAGGAACTTCTCGGCGACAGACGACCAAAGCGCGAAGCTTCTCAAGGTCATGAAAGACGACACGTTCTTCCTCGGCACTCTCGAACCTGGCACCTCAAAAATACGCCAAGTCTACCATATAATCTCCGGAGACCCTGCTCGAGGTTCGCTGGCGATGGAGAGCGATTCCGCGCCCTCTCAAGGAACGAAAGTCCAGGTTCGTCGTACCTTCAGACAGCGAAACCTCTGTAGCTTACATTGCTATAGATCTTCCGCTCGCCCGCGCACGCCAACCCGAATATGCTGTCTCGCTATAAGTTGTCCTCGAGCGAGAACGGAAGTCTGCGGCGAATGGCGTTCGCAGTCGCGCCATCAGACCCTATGCACGGCGAGTCTGGGGACCACGGCGAGACTGTAATACTCGAAGACACATTCTTGACAGCGTCGGAGAACGGGTTCGTCGTCGATCGCCACGCACCTGGTGGGACAGAGCGCGAGCAGCCTTGGATGTGCAAGCTACCGGGAGCTGTAGCGGAGCTGCGGTGGGTCTCGGCGTCGTAGAGTCGAAAGAGTCTAGATAGGTAGTGTCAGAGAAAACTGACGTACAGAGTACTGAAAAGTGAGGTTTTATAGTGCAATGTGTTTGCCATGAAGCGCCTATGGTATCTACATGTCCAGGTCATCCACAGTCCAGTCGACTCCGGCAAACACAAGATAACCCATAATCCATGAATGAAACTAACACCCTCAACTCTCCCCGTCCTCCTGTTCATAAGCAGGCGGCGGTTCGCGCAGCAAACCATTCTGCTCCGCCTTCAGCCTATCCACCTCCACCTGCAGTGCCTCGATCTGCCTCCTCAGCTCCGAGTCGTCGTGCTCTGGAGGCGGGCTCCCCGGAGACGAAGACGACAGAGCCGGCCGGGCCGACAGAGCAGACTGGCGCCGCCGCAGGTCCGACACGACGATCTCGATGTCGCGCATCTGTCGGGAGAGCTCCTCGCGCTGCATGGACGCTTTTGTGCTCCGTCTGTTCGGACGAAGGGCGATTCGCGCAGCAGCGGATGCAGATGGCGGCGCGGTGGGACCGTTATCGGTGGGAGTGTTCGACGAAGGCGGCAGGAGGGCGTCTCGAGAAGCGGAAGGTGTGTCTACTGGGAAGGCCCACAGGCTCGGCGAGCCGTCTTTCTTGTAAGCACCTCCACCGACTGCCGCGGACCGCGGTTCGGGCGAAGTCGCGGATGGATCCGAGCCGGTTTCGGAGACGGAGACGGCGGTCGACGGTGCGTTGGCAACGTGAAGAAACCCCGCGGTCGTAGGAGACCTCGAGCAGTCCAGATGCGCACCAGTTGTGGAAGCGGGAGTGACCTGGCTCATGGATGGATCCACGAAAGGGTCATATTCGCCAGCAGGTCCAAGCCATGAGCGTCCGTCCTCACCGCCACGGACGATCTTGATCTTGTCCGCACCACTGCGCCTGTAGCGACGATGCCAGTAGATCACGAGGGCGATAATTGCGAACAGGCCGAGTCCGCCGACAACCCCGCCTACGATGGCCCCTACGGGTGTGCGTTTGGACGATAAGGATACTGAAGTGGTCACTGAGGGACCAGAAGGGGAAGGTACGGTAGCCTGAGAGCTGGTCGTTCCAGCAGTTGACGTAGCCTGCGTAGTTGCGGAAGATGAGCTCGAAACGACATCTTCAAATCTATGGAGGACCGAGCCTGAGGGGCGTATCTGCGCAGAACGACGGATAACGTACGTGTATTGTGCCCAATCGAACGCCAAATATGACGGGCTTGATTCACGCTGAGGCGTCATCACCAGCGTGTGCTGTCCATTCGCCAGTGCCGTGTTGCTGTAGAGGGTGACGTTGTACATGTAGTCGGTCGACTGTGAAGGCGCGTGCGTATACAAGCCCACCGACTCCCCATCTAACTCGAAGCTGACATTGACAAACGTCGTTGCAGATGCGACATAATTTGGCACAACCCCGTAGACCCAGACTGCAGTGCCTGTTGAACGATCGTCAGTCAGGAAGAGGAAGAGGTGAACTGACTCATGACGTACCGGTGAAGGAGAGTGTTATAATCTTTGGCGCGGGGTCGGTCGGCGATGCCGTAACATCGTGCCACGACTGGTCGAATGTCTCGCCTGGTACTGGCTGGATGAGGCAAACTGAGCACCCAGGACCGTAGTTCCAGCCAGTCGAGTATGTCGGTGTTACACCGGTGGCGGAATCGCCGTAGTAGTCGTCAATCGTCCTGTTCGTCGGCGTGCTAGCCTGAGCGGCCCGTGCACCGGTCAAAATCAAGAACAATACAACAATCAAAGATTTCAAAGCGTTACTAGGTGAAGACAAAGCCATCAATGAGAGAAGACGATCCTGGCGCGCTCGCATGAAACAGGCATGCAAGCCTGGACAGACCAGATGAAAAGAGGAAGACAGACGAACTGTGCAAGGCGGAGCGGCGCCGGAAAGGATACTGAGCAGGTCTATCCCTCACTCAGATGCTGTGCTGCTTCTCGTAATAGCGCCGTACGTCCATCATACACGCTTGTGCCTGCCGACCAACTGTCAACTTGTTCTACATCAAGGCTAGAAGGTCCAAAGATCTGCGCACTCTGACACGTAAGTAGTATTCTAATCCCACACAGAAGGCCCTATAAAGCCACACATCAGGAGGTAATAATGATTATCCTTATTACAGATTAATCCAACAATTAGGAACGCGCTGCGAACGAGTCACGGCAGCATCATACTGGCCTCTTAGTTCGAACGAAGTCTCATGCCAGTGGTCGTCATGCATTGAACACGGTAAGAATTCCGACCCAACATAATTCGAGGCGAGGCAATCGCTGAACCGTGACGTGGTTCCAGAACTGATTTCTCTTTGCGGCCGCCAATTGACCCCGGGCCGGTCCGTATTCCTCGGATCCTCCAAGCCGCCTCGCACTGCACCGAGCTCTCACCTCAAGACGTCGCCACGGCTAGCGGATACCGAGTGTGCTCCAGGTCTTATATCCGTCAATTTTGTGTCAACTGATAAGGTCCACGCACGCTCCTCATATCGGCCAGAGCCATCTAGAGGTGAGCGAGAGATATCTAGGCAAGGGCCAAACCGAGGATGATACTCTTCATGAGCGTCAAGGCGCGAAACAGCCCCTCCGAGTCTACACCGTCGACCCCGTAGTCGAACGAAAACATGTTCCCTTGTCGATGACCAAGGACAAGGTGAGTACCTTCTCGAGTCATTGTCGAACCACTTACTAATAGCGTAAGTTAGCCTAAGTGTCTTAGAAACGACAGCCCTCCGAGTCCCCACTCAACAAGGTCGTGTTTAGGGTCTGCCTACCGGGGACCAGTATATCAAATCGAGGCGACCTCGTACTGATATCATGCTGGCTGGACTCTGTCTCTCTCGCGCTCGCCTCCGTGGTTCTGCGCCTGCTCTGCGCTTTCCATCTGATTGCTACCGCTGCTACCGATTCACGACACTCAGAACCCACCATCTATTCTCACTTTTCCATTTCTGCCTCGGGTGATCCGTCAAGTTCACGACTTTTACGGGTGAGATCTCAGCGGAGTGGTGTCTGCACAACCCAACCCAACCCGATACTTCCGCACTCTATGTAGGGCACCGATCGTCAACTCAGATATCACTCGAGATTCTGCAGGTAGAGCGAGGCATACACTTTTCAATGTACCAGCGATCTATTGAACCATACTGACTCGACGGCAGGATTACCAGATGGCAGACGGCGGCCGACGGCGAAGAAGTTCGACCGGAAGGATATGCCTCGAACCTGTGGCATTCAGGTTGCTACAGAGCACCCCCCCTACTTGAGCTATCCGTATGCCTTCCGTTTGCTCCGGCGGCCGTTGCTTGAATGGCATACATATCGACAGTAGGTCGACTCCGCCAAGCAATTGTAAATACAAGATAATCCATATTCCATGAATGAAACTAACACCGTCAACTCTCCCCGTCCTCCTGCTCATATTCATACGCAGGTGGTGGTTCGCGCAGCAAAACATCTTGCTCCGCCCTCAGCCTCTCCACCTCCAACTGCAGTGCCTCAATTTGCCTCCTCAGTTCCGAGTCGTCGTGCTCGGGAGGCGGGCTCCCCGGAAGGGGCGGCACAGGGTCGTCCCCCAGCGACGTAGACGACAAAGCTGTCTGGGCCGACTGAGAAGACTGGCGCCGCCGCAGGTCCGCGACGGCGGTCTCTATGTCGCGCATCTGGCGCGAGAGCTCCTCGCGCTGCATGGTCGCTTTTGTGCCCCGTCTCTTCGGACGGCGGGCGCTTTTCGAAGCAACGGATACGGGAGATTCCGTAGCGGCAGCGGTATTGGTGGGCGTGTTCGACGAAGGCAGCACGTCTCGAGAGCCGGAAGGCGTGTCTACTGGGAGGGCCCACAGGCTCGTCGACGAGCCTTCTTTCCTGTGGGTCCCCCCACTTGCTGCCGCGGACTGCGTTTCGGACGAAGAAGCGGATGGATTCGAGCCAACGTCGGACTCGGAGACGATGGTCGACGGCGCGTTGGCGACGTGGAGGAACGTCGCGGTCGTAGGAGCCGAATTGGTCGACATGACAAAGGACGACGGCGAGCAGTCCCGAGGCGCGCCAGTGGTCGCGGGAGCGGCGTTGACCTGGCTCATGAACGGATCCACGAAAGGGTCATGTTCCGCAGCAGGTTCAATACATCCACGTCCCTCACCGCTACGGACAATCCTTATCTTGTCCGCACCACTATGCCTGTATCGACGATGCCAGAAGAAAACGAGGGCGATAATTGCGAGCAGGCCGAGTCCGCCGATAACCCCGCCTGCGATGGCCCCGAAGGGTGTGCGACTGGATGATAAGGATACTGAAGCGGTCACTGAGGAACCAGAAGGGGAAGGCATGGTAGTCTGGGAGCTGGTTGTTCCAGCCCGAGCAGTTGACGCGACTTGCGTAGTTGCGGAAGATGAGCTCGAAACAACGTCTTCAAACCTATGGGAGATTGATGAAGACTGAGCCTGAGCTTGTCTGCGCAGAACAATGGACAACGTACGTGTATTGTGCCCAATCGAACGCCAAATATGACGAGTTTGATTCACGCTGAGGCGTCATCACCAGCGTGTGCTGCCCATTCGCTATTGCCGTGTTGCTGTAGAGGGTGACATTGTATATGTAGCCGACCGACGCTGAGGGTGCGTGCGTGTACAAGCCCACCACCTTCCCATCTAACTCGAAACTGACATTGACCAACGTTGTTGCATATTCGACATAATTGGGCACAACCCCGTAGACCCAGATCGCAGTACCTGATTGAGATACAACTAGTCAGAAGGCGGAAAAGGTGAGCTGATTCTTGACACACCATTAAATGAGAGTGTCACAGTCTTTGGCGCGGGGTCGGTCGGCGATGCGGTAACATCGTGCCAGGACTGGTCGAAGGTCTCGCCTATTGCTGGCTGAATGAAGCAACCTGAGCACTGGGGACCGTAGTTCCAGCCATCCGAGTATAAAGGTATTGCACCGGTGGCGGAATCGCCGTAGAAGTCATCAATCGTCCTGTTCGTCGTCGTGCCAATGGCCCGTGCACCAGTTGCCACGAAGAGCAATAAAGCAATCACAGATTTTAGACTGTTAGGCAGTGAAGGCAAAGTCATAAAAGAACGAAGATTATGCTGCCGCGCCGACATGAAAGCCTGGGGAGAAGAAATGAAAATGACAGACGGACTCTGCAGGACGAAGTGGCCCCGGGTCGAAAGGATACTGAACAGGTCTATTCCCACTCAATTGCTGTGCTGTAATGCCGCGGTACGTCCATCAAGGATCGATCAAGGGTCCCGTAATGTATTGCACTCATCATCCAAGTCCGCACGTGCACGAACCCAGCATGTAGACAGCGAGCGTGAGTATTACGGGCCATTTAGTGACGCCAATACCGTCGTTACTACAGTCGAATGAGGTAATACGTCGACGACCCGCCAGCTGGTACAGTACTCATTCGACTAGTCACAGACATCCTACTCAGGGGATACCTATTGAAGGTCACCCACTTCCTCGTAGGCCGGTGGGGGAGCCTTTATGTCCGTATCAAGGGAAACACGGTCTGCTTGCAAGCCCATATTGTTCACCTGCCTTTGCAGTGCCCCGATCTGTCTCTGTAACGCGGAGACGTCGTACTGGATCGGTGGCGCTATGGGCGTGTCAGGTACGTCCACCGTGGTAGATATTGCATGCTGTGATACAATGTTCTGCTGGTACGTCAATTGTGGGTTGCCTGCTGTGTTCGTTATGATGGCACTTCCTCTGTGCGGCATGGCCTGTCCGGTGTCTCCGTATCGCTCGGGCTGCGGCTGCGGGGGCTCGGACTCAGGCCCTGGAAGAGGACCACCGGAAGGTGCCGTGCAAATTCGTGCGAAGTGACTGATGGACGAAATGCCTATGGTGGTTGTGGGGGAACGGGTTGTTGTGAAAATGCCAGGGGTGTCGTCGAAATGAGTGTGTGCGGTGAGTGGCTGCAAACTTCGCGACAAGGTGTCCACGCTCAAGCGGCTCAACGTAGGTGGTGTTACGTCCGTGCAGTGTACGTCCAGGCTTTCGCTTGCCGCAAAAGCAGGATCGCCTACGGCTAGGTACGCTCCCTCTCCCGCGCGCACAGGCGACGTCCTGACCCTGGCGGGTAAGCTCCGATCGCGGTCCACTCTCTTCGACCTCTGTCTGCGACACACACAGAGTATGATGGACAGGAGCACTACTGCAGCAGCTCCTCCGGCTGCTGCGCCCACGATGGCAGCAATAGATGGATGCGACTTTGTCGTCGCCGAGCTACTGCTTGGTTTGACCGAGGATGTACTGATATTGCTGGATGTAGTGCGCGATTCGGAATTCGAGGGTGATGAGCTGGACCCTGAGGTAGTTGGCCCCACGACAGGAATCTCTCCAATGTCGTCGTATCTAAGTCAATATGAGGAACTGAATCCCGTTATACCTCCGACACACTCACGTGTACTGCAGATAATCGAATGCTATCCACGACCCTGCTAGCACAGTCATGTTCAAAGTGTGCTCCGTGTTTGTCAGGTTCGTATTGCTGTACACGGTCACATTGTAGGAGAAATCGCTTGCTGTTGCGTCCTGATTTGTCGGGGTGTTGACATACGTTTTGACCTTCTCGCCGTCGAGTTCGATATCGATGTCGGTGATGGTGATGATAGCAGTGCTGCTGACCTTCTGGGCCATAACGCAGTATACCCAGACCTCGGTACCTATGCCCCATCAGACATTAGACACCTCATTGAATACTACACGAGCTCGTACCAGTGAAGCTCATAGAGACAACGTTTGCACCCACGGCATTGGGCAACAATGTCGTGTCATGCCAGCTTCCCATGAAGACCTTCGCCTTGTCCAGTTGCAGGGTGCAAGCAGGACATTCCGGGCCATAATTCCATTCCCAACCGGGCAAATTGGTGTACAAGGGCAGGGCCCCTGTGAAAGAGTCACCATAGTGATCATCGATCGTCCGGTTTGTGGGCGTTGCTCGCACGTCCACGACTGTGTTCGCGAGTAACAGAGAGAGCGTGAAGAGTCGGATCCTCATATGAGATGAGAAAGAGCGACAAAACGAGCGGTGGAGAGACATGGGGTGCTACGGGGCGCACGCTGGCTAAGCAGAGATTACGAGGGGGGACAGCCGGGAAGGGGCTGTAGAAACCATTTAAGGCACGAGAATATCAGTAGAACTATCAAGTAGATGCTTCACTGTTCATTTGCCCAACTCACAGTAGCTGGATCATGACGCCGAGAGGTAGTCCGCATGATCCTGATTTAGGACTGGTCCATTTTCAGTTGTACGGGGGGTGGTTTCGGGGTACATATGATGTGTACGACGGGGCGTCGGTTTCACATTGCTCTGTCCTGCGCTACAGATGTCAGCCTACAAAGTGTCGATCAATTGACAAGAAGCGTTACTCGGAGGCCGTAGTATGCGCAACCTCATTCGCGGACCTGTGTGTCGTGCCAGTGCAAGCATCTGTCAGATGTGTGCCGGACAGCTCTCTGTGTGAGGAAACATCAGCCGCCGTCAATGATCCTACGGACAACTCGTGACAAGTGCCGAAGTGATGTCCTGAAGTGAGTTCTTCCAGGACGTCTCACCGCCGAATCGGAGTTCTGCTTTTGATAGTCCACGCATAACGTGAATCCTCACTGGGACCATTGAAGACCAATGATCACGTTGAGAATCCTACGCACCGAACTTCACTAAATCCGACAGTGACCTAGACCATTCAAGCATCATGGCCCCAGATCTGTGCATCGCCCGACACTCAAACAGCGCGCGCGTGGATAGACTGCCAAAGGGCGGGAGGTACATAGCTTTCCGTTGTCCAGCCGAGCGCTGGCGGGCCGAATGGAAGCCTCGTAGACGACTGGCACTGCAGCCGTTGTTCATCTTGGCGTCAAATCCCGGTCCTGCGCTAATTCCTTTGTCATGTAGCTCGTACATCGTCGAACAGGCACTTGCAAGGATGTTCATTCATTTCGAAATTCGACGTTACAATGCGCTGCCTGTATTTCCTGGAGCAGCGGGTCATCCGAATCGCCAAAAGTGCATCAGACAGATCTGTAATGAACTGGAATAGTAATGCTCGTCTTACTTGCAATACTAGTCGGTATGACGCACCAATTGTCGCTCATATTCTTGCACTAAACCAGGTTGGCGTGCCATGTCGCGACACCGAAGGTGACCCAATGCGGCGATAACCTTGGCCAGCAGATAGTTGTCAGATTATCTCAGATATGATCCAGACTATCGCAGACATACCCATTGTGATCATCGGCCAAGAGCTTGTCAATACTTTCAACAGCACTAATCTCGACCCGGCAACAGCAAGACTGTGCTACCCAAGGCGACGCCATCTTCCCCGCGGCTGCTCACTGATCACCACCATTCCAGCCAGGATGATAGCACAAAACACATTGATTTATCTTTTTGAACATGCTGTACAATAAAGCATCAAGACACGGAACACGGAAGATGTCATTACAGTGGAGGAGCCCAAGTCAGGCTTGTGAGGTGAGAGGAACAGTGCCAGAGCTTCAACAGCCGGAGTGACCTCGTGGGCTGAGCGAAGGAAAGGTTCGACAGGTGAGCGAGGAAAAAGAAGTTCTAAAAAGAAGTTCTTCAGTGAACGCATGGTGGACGGGCGACTCGGAGCAAATCGAAGGAAATCACAACGAACAGAGTGGGTGGAAACTGTTGGCACCGAGTATCGACCTGTATAAGCAAATATACTATGTGATGAATCGGTGATGAACCACGTACCGTACCGGTGTTCACGCATTTAGAGAACGACGTTCACGCCTCACCAGTGCCAGCTCCAGCTGAGGGACGACGGCGAAGATGAGCTGCACATTGCTCTTGCAGGCATGAGACCGAGGAGGGGCCAACTCGTGGAATCTCTGTGGTTGACGTTCGGCGGCCTGGCACCTTGATTCCGAGAGCCTTCCTGCCATACTGTTAGTGAGAAGATTGATGACGCAACTGACAGAACTTACCTTGAGCAGAAAAGCTGATCACAGAAGGCCATAGTCTAGGTTGTTCTTGTCGTACTCTGTCTCGCTATAGGCGAGGGTCGGCCAGTTGTCGTGGTCAATAACTCGCTGATTGTTGTGAACTTCGGCACAAAATCTGAAAGGCATGTGATGAGTAATGTTGAGCATGAGCAACGGACAACATACCCCTCGGGATTGGCATCAAAGTCATCCCGAGCACTGCGCGGACACAACATCCGAGCTGTCCCAGGGCAGCGCCAGCCGCGCTCCGTCTTTGCCAGGCGGGGATCTGGAGCGTCGATACTTTCCACTCGAAGGAGGTGCCACTAGGAGAACCTCCTGTTTGAGACGTGCGATGTCATCCCGGATCCGTGCGTGCGCTCGCCACCGCTCGATCAACCTATACAAGAAAAGGGAGTAAGCCATTAGTGGAAAGAGTTATTTGTACCCACGAAGAGCACCACAGATGATACGTCAGCAGGGTGTTTCTCCAGACGCAGCAGGAGAGGCGTGATCCACGGGCAAGCCACGAGTATCCTCTGAAAGACGCCGAGCCAGTGCTTGAGCTCCCATTTGGTGCTGAAAAACGGTGTTAGGCAGTGCAGTCTGCCACCGATAGAGCTGATATAATGTGCATATATGTGTCATAGCATTCGTAGAGTACGCCTGCTATGGCGCATATATGCGCCGTTACGCACAATTTAGCCAGTCCCTCGTCTTCAATTCAAGGTCCTTGATCGCTGAGGTCGATTTCGTGGTTGGTGTTTTGCTGACTTATGGCCTCTGGTACGTTTGTCGCTGGCACGGCCTCGGTAGTCGACGACGGCTGAGGCAAGACTTGCTGTTGCTGTTCTAGCGCTAGCTCAGCCTAGGACCAGCAGCGCGGGAGAGAACTCTTGCTGGCCCGAGGTTGAGGATGCAGAGTTTTTGTGACGCTTCGATGGGCGAGACTGCTCATCTTCTGAGGAGTCGGGGTCGCTTGGTGGAGCCTCAGGTTGCTGTTTCTTCTTCCTCTTGTCCTTTTCCTTGCTCGGAGGTTCTGATTGCTAAGCCGCCGGTGCTAATTTGTTGATGAAATGTGTAGACTTACTAGCGGTACTAGCGGAACCCTATTCTTTTCTTTTGCCCATAGCTGAGGATGGTGTGATGGTGGAGGTACGGAGCGAAGATGCGTTGACGTCAAGACGCGTCAACGACTCGGAGCGTGTCAAGTCCAGACGCATCGGTCACGTGAGCATGTCAGAGACTCTGCGCGTTCTTGACACACCGTTAAATGAGAGTGTCACAGTCTTTGGCGCGGGGTCGGTCGGCGATACGGTAACATCGTGCCAGGACTGGTCGAAGGTCTCGCCTATTGCTGGCTGAATGAAGCAACCTGAGCACTGGGGACCGTAGTTCCAGCCATCCGAGTATAAAGGTATTGCACCGGTGGCGGAATCGCCGTAGAAGTCGTCAATCGTCCCGTTCGTCGTCGTGCCAATGGCCCGTGCACCAGTTGCCACGAAGAGCAATAAAGCAATCACAGATTTTAGACTGTTAGGCAGTGAAGGCAAAGTCATAAAAGAACGAAGATTATGCTGCCGCGCCGATATGAAAGCCTGGGGAGAAGAAATTATGAAAATGACAGACGGACTCTGCAGGACGAAGTGGCCCCGGGAAAGGATACTGAACAGGTCTATTCCCACTCAATTGCTGTGCTGTAATGCCGCGGTACGTCCATCAAGGCGCCTGCCAACCAACTGTCAACTTGACCTAGCATCTCGTTCAAGTTGTGTTCTCTTCGTCACAGAAATCGCCATGCTACTGCGTCGACACTGGAATGTGTTTATGTACATTCAGCAGTGACACAGAGTTGACCCGCTTAGACAGGTAGATGAGCGTGTCGATGTGTTGAACGGTGTAGGTTCCAGGCACGGAGATCAACCAGAAGCGTCCCGTATGATATTTGCACCGTTCATCCAACTTGCGCATTGACGACGCAGTACGTACGTCCGCACGGCGTGCGCGAACCTAGCACGTATACGTATTACTACAGTCGAGTGAGGTATTACGTCGACGTCCCGCCAGCTGGTACAGTACTCATTCGACTAGTCACAGACATCCTACTTAGGGGATACCTAATGATCGAAGGTCGCCTTGTGTGTAAACAGGAAGATTCAAGGACAAGATAGAACTTTGCTGCCCATGCTACGCCACATTGTGCATGTCATCCTTCCCGATCCCCCGCTTCCTCGTAGGCCGGTGGGGGAGCCTTTATGTCCGTGTCAAGGGAAACACGGTCTGCCCGCAAGCTCATATCATTCACCTGCCTTTGCAGTGCCCCGATCTGTCTCTGTAACGCGGAGACGTCGTACTGGATCGGTGGCGCTATGGGCGTGTCAGATACGTCCACCGTGGTAGATATTGCATGCTGTGATTCGATGATCTGCTGGTACGTCAATTGCGGGTTGCCTGCTGTGTACGTTATGGTGGCACTTCCTGTTGCCTGTCCGGTGTCTCCGTACCGCTCGGGCTGCGGCTGCGGGGTTTCGGCCTCAAGCCCTGGAAGAGGACCGCCGGAAGGTGCCGTGCGAATTCGTGCAAAGTGACTGCTCGACGAAGTGTCTATGGTGGTTGTGGGGGAATAGGAGGTTGTGAAGTCGCCAGGGGTGTCGTCGAAATGAGTGTGTGCGGCGATTGGCTGCATGCTTCGCGACAAGGCATCCACGCTCAAGGTAGGTGACGTTATGTCTGTGCAGTGTACATCCAAGCATTCACTTGTCGCAAAAGCAGGATTGCCTACGGCTAGGTACGCTCCCTCTCCCGTGCGCACAGGCGACGTCCTGACCCTGGCGAGTAGCCTCCGATCGCGGTCCACTCTCTTCGACCTCTGTCTGCGACACACACAGAGTATGATGGACAGGAGCACTACTGCAGCAGCTCCTCCGGCTGCTGCGCCCACGATGGCAGCAATAGATGGATGCGACTTTGTCGGGTTGTCGGGGGGGACAGATATTCCTCCCGGAGAAGTCAAGGACGGGAGAGGAGAGGGGGTCACAAGCACACTGCTTGTGACCGTTGTTCGCAAGCCAGACACCGGGGTGATGATCGTCGTCGGACTACTGGCTGGTTTGACCGAGGATGCACTGGTAGTCACTGTATCCCCATTGCTTGATGTAGTGAATGTAGTGCTCGATTCGGAATTCGAGGATGATGAGCTGGTCCCTGATGTAGCTGGCCCCACTGGCATGGCAGGAACTTGAATGGAGTCGTATCTGAAACAATATGAGGAACTGAATCCCGTTGAACCTCTCTACACTCACGTGTACTGCAAATAGTCGAAAGCTATCCACGACCCTGCTAGCACAGTCATCTTCAAAGTGTGCTCCATGTTTGTCAGGTTCGTGTTGTCGTACACGGTCACATTGTAGGAGAAATCGCCTGTGGTTGCGTCCAAATTTGTCGGGATGTTGACATACGTTTTGACCTTCTCGCCGTCGAGTTCGATATCGATGTCGGTGGCTGTGATAATAGCAGTGCTGTTGACCTTCTGGGCCATGATGCAGTATACCCAGACCTCAGTACCTATGCCCCATTAGACATTAGACACCTCATTGAAAACCACGCGAGCCCGTACCAGTGAAGCTCATGGAGACGACATTTGCACCCGCGGCATTGGGCAACAATGTTGTGTCGTGCCAGCTTCCCTTGAAGGCCTTGTCTGTGTCCGGACGCAGGCTGCAAGGAGGACAATCCGGGCCATAATTCCATTCTGCATCGGACGTATTCGTGTACACGGGCATGGCCCCTGTGGAAGAGTCACCATAGTAGTCATCGATTGTCCGGGTTGTGGGTGTTGCTCGCACGTCCACTACTGTGTTCGCGAGTAACAGAGAGAACGTGAGGAGTCGGATCCCCATATGAGATAAGAAAGAGCGACAAAATGAGCGGTGGGGCGACATGGTTTGCTGCGGGCGCACGCTGGCTGCGTAGAGATTACGAAGGGGGGGGGGACGGAAGGGGCTGTAGAAACCATTTAAGGCACGAGAATATCAGTCGAACTATCAAGTAGATGCTTCCCTGTTCAACTGCCCAACTCACAGTAGCCTGTTCATTACGCTGAGAAAGGTTCCGCATGATCCTGAGTGGTCCGTTTTCAATTGTACGGGGAATGGTTGCGGAGTATGCGCCACCTCGTTCGCGGACCTCTGCGTCGTGCCAGTGCAAGCATCCTTCAGACGTGTGCCGGATAGCCGTCTCTGTGAGTCAAATTGAGTACAAACATCAGTATGAGATCCGCCGTCAATGATCCTACGGAGAAATGATGACACGTGCCGAAGTAATGTCCTGAAGTTTGTGCTTGTAGGACGTCTAGACTCTCACCGCCGAATCGGAGTTCTGCTTTTGAGAGACCGTGCATAACGTGAATCTTCACTGGGGCCATTGAAGACCGATGATTACGTTGAGGATCCTACGCACCGAACTTCACTAAATCCGACAGTGACCTAGACCATTCAAGCATCATGGCCCCAGATCTGTGATATTTTGCATGCATCGCCCGACACTCAAACCGCGCGCGTGGATAGGCTGAAGGGCGGGAGGTACATAGCTTTCCGTTGTCCAGCTGAGCGCTTGCGGGCCGAATAGAAGCCTCGTACACGACTGGCACTGCAGCCGTTGTTCCTCTTGGCGTCAAATCCCGGTCCTGTGCTATTTCCTTTGTCGTGTAGCTCGTACATCGTCGAACAGGCACTTGCAAGGACGTTCATTCATTTCGAAATTCGACGTTACAATGCGCTGCCTGTATTTCCTGGAGCAGCAGGTCATCTGTCTTAGAATTGACTGAAATCGTGTGGCATAAATCTAGGGGGAGGGTCTGGAACCGATGTCAGTTGACACTGGTATACTGACGAAACTAGGGATTTGGCGAGCGACTGCGGCTTACCTGGACCGTTACTACTCTGATGGTTGTTCATCTCTTTCCTCTTCCTCTTCTCGAGGCTCATATGCTGGCGGAGCCTCTTGAACGAGCGTAGCTTGCTCCGCCCGAAGTCTCTCAACCTCTACCTGCAAAGCCGCGATCTCCCGCCTGAGTTCTTCGTCACCTCGCAGGGAACTGCCTATCACGTTCGGCTGGGTAGAAGCAATGAGGGTCGTGGTCGCGCGGTGATCCGTCGACTGCCGTCGACGCAAATCGGCCACCGTCTGCTCGATTTCCCGTATCTGGCGGGAGAGCTCTCCGAGAGGCGAGCTGCCACGGTCAAAGCCGCTGGTGGGGGACATAGAGAAACTCCGGCTCGAGTTCGGAGGAGGGGATGGAGGCTCTGTCGACCCGGACGCCGAGCGAAGCACAGACGATGGGGTCTCTGTCTTCCGGTTCTGCGACGTGAGCGGTGCAGTCGACGTAGACATGGCCGACGGCGAGAGCGAGTCCGTCTCGGGGGAGCCGGTGGTTTTCGGACGAACGACGTTCAGAACTTGCCCAGAGTCGTTGGAGCTACCCACTTGGCTTGAGCTGGAGTACGTGAAGGGGCTGATAGCAATGGTTTTGGCCTCCTGGATGCCTTCACCGTCCGGCTCGATAACGACTCGGGGTGACCTCCTCTGTTTCCGTCGCCGATACAACAGACCGATGGCTAATGCGACGATTGCCAGGACGCCTATCACTCCTCCGATGACCCCGCCGATGATCGCGCCGACGCGACTGTGTCGGTCTGGAGCTGGTGTTGGGATGCCGGGGCCTGTGGGGTTACTGGTCATGGAAGTCGTGCTCGAGGAACCATTCGGTTGCGGAATTAATGGAGAGCCTGAGGATTCATTGGTGCTTCGCTAATCGTCAAAATTGAGGTTTCATTCAGAGGGGACTGTTGACGTACGTATATTGTGCCCAGTCGAATCCCATGTATGTCGCACCAGTTGCGCCCTGTGGCGTCATGACAATCGTATGCTCCCCAGCCTCCAGCGATATGTTGCTATAGGCGGTGACATTGTAGTAGAACGAATTATTGGTGCCATCGGCCTCGTGTATATAGAACCCGTCCTTCTTGCCGTCGAGCTCGAAAGTGACGTTGACAGTCGTGATAGCCCCGGTACTATGGTTCAGGAAATTGGGAACCACGCAGTATACCCAAACGGCAGTACCTGATGAACGAAGTTCCTCAGCGGCACGATGCAGCAAAATTGGCATAGCAACGAACCATTGAACGAGATCGTGACATTTTCGGGAAATGGATCATTTCCGAAGGCGGTGGCTTCGTGCCATGAGCGATCGAACAGGTCATCGACGGACGGTGTGATGGTGCACGTCGAGCAGGTCGGACCATACTGCCAGCCCTCGGTGTAGATCGGTTTGTTTCCTGTTACGGAATCGCCGTAATAGTCATCGATCGTTCTGTTCGTGGACGCCGCCAAGCTGCAATGCGAAATGAGAAGCAGCACAGTGATCGCCAGCATCGTGACTTGTTTCAAAATGCGAAGCGTGGAGGACATCTCTTGCAGACGGCGGGCGACTTGCGCAGTCAGACCACAGTCGAAGGTGCAAGTGGGCGACGTAACAGCGTCTCCTCAAGTGCAATACATATCAGTACTCCCGGTGCGGGACGAATAGCCTGAGCTATCGCTGTGAACCCAAGAGGGCCGATCGGACGGGCATCGTGTTCGGCCAGGCTAGGGCTGTGGTCATCCGACAGACTCACAGTACATACATGTGGTCTACATTGGCTGTGTATGGCCTCAATAGCACCAGATGAGAAGATCGTTCGGAGGCGTCGATTCATGTTGAACCTAGATCTTCCGCGACGACGTTCCTGAGCACGTTGCCCATGAAGGCTGCGGTCCATCTCTCTTCTGTGTCCATCACCTACGTCCGCAGATGAGTCACAGTGTGACGGGTAAACGGAGGCAGTCAGGCATGAGGCTCACTCACATTGGACTCGAATGGCGCTGGGACAGTCTTTGTTAGGATAGGAAGGTTATGTGCTTCCAAGTGAAGGCTCACCAATTTGGCAGCAGGGTTTTCTCACATAGAACGCGAGTGCTTCTCGTTCAGGCATAAACAGGCGGTTTGCATGAATGTGCGGCACCGAAAGACCAATTCAAGTCGCGGCCCGTCAGTGAATAGATGGGGACGACGGCCACGCAAAGCAGGGGCAGAACAGCAGTGTTCTCAATGAACAAGGAAGTATGAGAAACAAGGAAGTACGAGAGCATAGTCTCGTTGAGGCACGAAACTGACGACGGGCCACACCAGAGAAGTTTGCGTATTGGAAGCTAGCAGCGACCGATGCTCCGTTGAAACCCAGTACCTGTCACAGAGTCGGTCGAACCACTGGACGGACCTTGCGATACCAAGATCAAACCAAATTCGGACAGCCATATGAAACTCTGATAACGAGTCGCCTCATGGCTGAGAACTATTCCATGGGAGGAGAACCCGAGGACATTCTATGTGCAGACGGTTGGTAAGAAGTATGTGGACCACTCGCTGCACTGACTCACCCACGACCTCGTCGGAGCGTCAGATAATCATCCCAGCTGCACGGCGGTAGAGTCAGATACCTCAGCCTCGAGTGAAGAGAAGCAAACCGCACTATTCAGCTCAGCTTCTCCATGGCCACATGTGCTGTATTGCAAACGTTTGAAGCGAGGCCGCGGCAAGAGGTGCCGGTGAGTCCTCAGGCCTCAGTCCACTTATCGCCTTCGACTCCTGTACGTAGGCGTCCCGACGTCCGAACCGTTGGTGAACATTGGCGAGCGAGGAGGGGTATATGACTGGGAATAGTCACAGCACTAGGGAGTACAGAGACAGACAAGTTTTATTCAACTTAACGGATGGTCGTGAGCGCGTTGTGCCAGTGGAAGCTGTTACTGTAGCGCTGGCGCCGAACGTTTGAACAAGCATGGCCGCCGTCGGACCGGCCCGGACGAACCGATCTCTTCCTCCACACTTGTCCGACGTAAGTAGCGGCGCTCGTTCACTCACCTGAACGTCTTCTCCAGCAAAGAACTCAGTCTAAATAACGATCTTTCGCGCATGAACGTATCTTCTGTATAGCGAGGCCGAAAAGCGGCTTGATAGGACTTGTTGACGCAACTACCGGAATAGTTCGTTTGGCTGACGTTACTACGCTGGCACTGCAGGGCGGCAGGCTTGGGAGATGTTGCATACTGTGAGTCTCAACATTTACTTCACTTCAGAAATCTGAGGCTACCGGAGCTTTTCGTAAGTCAGTCAATCTATAGACTCATTCTCCACGGCATGATTCATTCAGATGTAAATACTCTAGTGCATGTACAGTACTATAGCCACGACTCCACAGCACGGCGGCCTTACTCGAGGACCATGAACTTGAGCTTCAACTGCCCATCGACTTCCACGGGCTCGCACCTGACCTGGTCCATGTTCTCGACAAGGTAATGTGCGCCGCAGCTCTCGATCTTCTCGCGCTCATGCGACGTGCAGACGGCGACGACGGTGGCGCCAGACGCAACACCCGCCTTGATCCCAGAAGGCGAGTCCTCGAAGACTACGCAGTTCTTGGCGTCGAAGCCGAGGCATTCGGCGGCGAGCAGGAAAGGGTCCGGCGCGGGCTTGCCAGCCTTCAAGCGCTTGTCGTCGGCGGTGATGGTGACGGGAGGCGGGGTAATCCCGACGCGAGTCATGCATCCGTAGGCTGAAAGGGTTTCGTCAGACATCAGTGGGCCCGCCATACAGAATAGAACGCACCGTAAGTCTTAGCACCAGACGTCGCGACTGCGTACCGGCCGTCGGGGATAGAGGCAATCATTTCCTTCACTCCGGGAAGGATGCGCACCGAGCGGTCGACAGCGGCGGCCTCCTGCTGCCAGGCCTCCAGAGCGTGGATCATACTCTCCTTGCCTTCTTCGGTGTCGAACATGCCCCCCTCGATGGCCGATTCACGCAGGGCTTGACCAACCTCCAGAATCGTACTGACCCGCTGAAGAAAGGCTGGGCGAGAGGCGATCGCTTCCCCGGCGGACGAAGACGACCTGGAGGACATGATGGAGGACGCCTCGGAGCCGCCGCGCGAGAGGGTTGGTGTAGTCACGCTGGAGTCGACGGGCGTTGCGATACGAGAGTTGCGGCGTGAGCCGGGGCCGTGCTTCACATAAGCGTCGGCGAAGAACAAGATCGATTCCTCGAACGCCTGAACCTCGTCGTCCATCTCGTGAACCTCGATGGAAGGCTTGAACTGAGAAAGGTTGTCGATGGCACGCTTGCCGTGGGTAGCGGCGATTACAGAGGCTGGGTCCTGCCCAATGTCCTTCGCGACCTTGCTCCATGCAGCTTCGACCGCTGCGATGGAATCTGTAAGCGTACCGTCCTGTGCAGACGCCAGGTGAGTCCTCGTGGCATCTAGCGAGGGAAAGCAGACACCCACCATATCGAATAGAACGGCATCGGCGAAGAAAGTCTGCGTGCCAGCAGAAGACATGATTCGCAAAGCAATAGAAGTGGCTATGAGTGTGAAGTGAAGGGGAGAGGATCGTCTAGCGATTGAAGTTGTGGGTACCGGAGGATACAGCTGACATTTATAGTGCCTAAGCCGCGGAAAGATCTCAGTCTTGACTGAGGGCGGCGAACATGGAGCGCGGCTGATGACAGCTAAGTCCAACGTTCGCAAGGCCATTGGATCATGTCATTCTGTTCACAACTGAGCGGTCATATTGAGAGCGGCACTCCATCTTGGGCATTGACCTGAGGGTCTCCGAGTCAGAACGAACGCGAACGTCCTGTGAGTCTCACAGTCGCACTCCCCAGTCATGTCATGGAGACGCGCTGAATGGCGAGGCGGCGGGCCAGCCGCCCTGAAATATGATATTGACTAGTTGTCAGCATTGTCCAGGGAGGACGTGAGGTCCACTGCTTTGGTCCTGGCTACTTACTGGTGTATATTGCGTATGATCAGGCCTCAGGATAGATCAGAATAACTTCCGCGAGGTACCACTACCGAGGATGCGGACGAGGATTATGGAATGACGTCACGGTTACAGATCTTGAGAGTCGAACTACTTAGTGTCTTCTCGAGTGTGTGATCCTTCAGACGAAAACAATGGGAGTAAAGGAACAAACTAGAATTGAATGCTGCTGGCAAATATCGGAATGGTACCTCGATCCGAGTCAACTTCAAGTTGAAGCTCAGCGCGCTCGAACCGAGGCGCTCTGACGCGACCTGACGCGACGCGACCTTTCCACGTGCCATGAAATGCGGCACACGCTGCCTGAGTCGATCTTGTTTTGACCTTTGTTCAGCCTTACACACTCATAGTAGTCTCGCTGGTGGCTTGCCAATAATCTCAACACTGTGCGAAACAAAGGCACTTGGAAAGCCCAAGTTTCTCAGAAGGTACAGCGATCCTATACCGCCTTCGCCGGTATAAGCCAATCTGGAGATTGTAGCGCAACTACGGTACGCACAATGTCTGGGACAATGGCCATCCTTGTTCCTCATCCCAGTTTTAGATGTCTCTGCAATCCCTCAACTTCGATGTCATCGAAACTATCCTGTCCTACGTCGAATCGCGAGATGCCCTGCCGCTCATGACCACCTGTCGCGCACTACATATGCCCGCGATGCGGCGGCACTTATTCGAAATCACCCTCCGTTGGGAAGACCCCCGCGAGTGCCAGAACATTTTGCAGTTCTGCGAATATATGCTCGGCGATCCCAAGGTCCGCGCTCGATGTCTTAGAGCGCTGACCCTCCTTCCCCGGCCCCATCGACCAGCCGCCGTGCCTATCTTCGACCACCTTGCAGAAGTCATTCGACACGCGACCGGTTTGCGTAGGATAGTCTTGGATTATGCGGACGATAGCTTCCTCGACAGTTGTCCCACACTCGCGGATGCACTCGCTGACGTGGAGTCGCTCGAGACCATTCGCTTCGACTTCGTGTCTACAAGAGGGGTGGCGTTACTTTCGCGTATGAAAAGCCAACCGCGATCAGTCCAATGCTCAGTCAATGTCTTCAGGCTGCCATCGCAAGGCCCGACACGATTCCTGCATAACTTCGTTCAGAGCCTGACTTTCTTGGAGCTCTATGACGCACTCGATATTCTAGCGGTGGACACAGAACCCCATGCCGTATGGCCCCGGGTTCGCAAACTCGTCTTGCAGGACGAGAAAATCAGGCGTGAACATTGGCAGTTCATATGCCGTGCGTTCCCCAACCTTCGTACACTGCGCATGGGTGGGATGTTGCTCGACACTGCGGGCACCTGTGCCGAATGGTCAGAGATGGATCTCGTTCAGACGAGGAGTCCACTCCCGTTGCGGTGCCACGTACGTTGCGTCGAACTCAATATCAGCCTGGATAAGCAATTTCTGTCCCCGCACAACGTCGCCGACTATCTCGAGATGCTCGGGCATAGCTCGCCCGTTGCGCTGACCTGCCACCTCAATGACCGCATACTGGACTATCTGCCTGTGCGACTGCCTCGTCTGCGATTTCTCCACTTGGCGACACACGATTTGGAGCTACCGACCGAGTTGGGCGGTGTTGCCAGATGGGTAGATGCCACACTGGTGAGTCCTGCGGCCTGCAGGTTCCTTCACCCCATGCGTTGCGATGATGACATGCGCTGTTCTCTAGCTGCGTCTTGCGTCTTGCCTTGCCCAAACACAGGTCCGCACCGTCATCGTTGATCTTCCCCATAAATGTACCAACAGGCGGGCCGAGCTCCGTTCGCACGCCGAGAACATCGCGACGCACGCTCGGTGTATGGAACTCATCGGTCTACACCGCCACGGTTATCAACAAAGCCTCCATGGACAGGTGCAAGATCGGCAAGACTGGAGATCCTTGCTCTGCAACTGGTACCATGTGACATCGAGGACCGATGATGGCATCCCACAGCTGAGCAGAGTTTTCCAGAAGGATACACCGGGATTAGTTCCGCTCATTCAATCTTGCAAAACGCTCGGGTGACGCGCAAAGACCAACGTGAGGCAGTAGGGCTAGTAGATCTGTCCGAACCGCAGAATTGACAATCTATCCATTGAGTAGATATGTGCTGTGTCGCTACATAGTAATGAGTGAAACACGTTCATTGTAACATTTTCGTCATGCTACAGTCACATAGCGCGTCGAGAGCGCGCGCGCGCGAGTGTTGATGATTTCGCGACCATGACCTCTCCGCAGATATGGCTGGTGCCTCGGGACAAGCTGGCCGGTTTCATAGATCGACTCCTCTGACACCAGCAGCGGGTGATGCAGTCACCTCGGCCATCTGCGCCAGGAGTACTAGTCGGACCATAGGTATCCCCAGTAAGTAGGTGAGTCGCGGCCCTCGGGCTGAGTGAAGCACCGATGCGGCGGGCATACTAACTGTGATAGACTGTGATGTCCATAAAAGCGGGACACCGGAAGGACCGGATGCTCTGGATATTCTCGCAGTTGGCATGTCCTTCACAAACCTCTATCAAGCGCCCCCGCCTCTGCCTGCTCCCACAGAGTCAGATCTGTACGGCGCAGATCCTTATGACATCAACTATGTCTTCCCCCTCGACCTCCAACTCCTCCAGAATGATCGCGTGCGCCTAACTCCGTTCGTCCCCGAGCGCACGGTGCCCTTTTATGGGACGCCGTCGGGCCCACCTTCCCTGACCTGTTCCGCTACTACCCCATCTTGTTCACCACTCTCGAACAGAACCTCGCGTTCTTCGAGCGAGCGTACCGCTCGAACCCCGAATGCGTCCTGTTCGCGATACTGGACAAGACCACGCCCGACGACTCGCATCCCAAATTCGGCGGGGCAGCTTCGCCGGCCTCATCGGCCTCATCCGCACGTCGAGGGCCCAACTCACCACCGAGATCGGGTACGCGGTCATTTTCCCCGAGTTCCAGCGCAAGAAGATCGCATCGAACGCAACGGCGATCCTCCTCAAGTACTGCCTAGAGCTCCCGACTGCGTCCCCTCCGGGCCTTGGCTTGCGACGTGTCCAGTGGGGTGCGCATTCGGACAACGTAGCCTCTATTCGGGTCGCGACAAAGCTTGGGTTCAAGATGGAGGGGACGCATCGCTGGGCTTACATTAGAAAGGATAGGATGGGTCACACGCCGCGCAAGGGCGATCCGTGTCCCGGACAAGGCGGATTCGACATTGTCATCCTGTCGATGTGTTGCGATGATTGGGAGGCGGGAGGAAGGGAACTGACACAAATGTGTATTGACGAACACCGTATATAGCTGAGTGGATGCAACAGATGCCAGGTGCTTTGCGAACCATAGGCACGCAAGGCTCAGTCGTAGCCAACCTTACCGGGCACCACGCCGAACGCAGGGCCGCCTTTGCCAAACAGCGCGCGTAGATCTGCCGCAAGTTCATGGGGCTTCTCATGCGCAGCAAAATGTCCTCCGCTCCCATGTTCAACCTCCAACACGATGTTGCCCATTGTACGCGCCCAGCTGTGCCCAGTGCCGCCGTCAGTCCTTCATGACACGATGGTGATGGGGGCGAAACACATACGTCTTAGGTGGACGAAGGAGCTCCTTGGGGAAGAAGGATATTCCTCCTGGAACAGCACACCACGGGGCGCTATGGTTTGGATTCTCCACCACTTTCGCTTGTTCATAGTATATCCTTGCAGAGGCGGCAGGGCCCGCTCGAGAGAACCAGTAAATTGAGATCCACGTCAGGACTGACCATCGGTATTTAGCTTCGCACAGCTGTGTATGAGCGGGTTAACGCACCCTCGTCGTCCTCCCAAGGATAGTCATCCGACCAGAGCACGAGCTTCTCGTACATCCACGCGAGCAAGCCCGCAGGCGAGTCCGCGAGGGAGTACCCGAGGGTCTGCGGCTGCGTACCCTGCTCGGTGCTGTAGCCCCGTCCTTTCTGCATGAACAACTCATTGCGCTTGATGCGTGCACGTTCGGCCTCGGTATAGGGTGTGAGCAGATGCTGAAGCCAGAGCCGAGGGAAGCGCGAGAACGATGGTGGGCCGATCGAACTAGAAAGCGAAAGTGGTAAGTACAAGGATGCAACGAGTCAAGGCAGGAAGGCACGGACGAAGTATCGTTTGTATGCCATGCCTTCACGGCTTTAACGCCATAATTGGCTGCCATGGTTCTGATGACCTTATCACGTATAGTCAGCTCAAATGACAACAGTTGGACGAAGGATGCCGACTTGTGAGCCCCAGTCTCCTCCCTGCACCACTTATTCGAGCGCCGGGCTGTCAGCATCGAACTTGAGAGATACAGGCAAACGGCTGCGCACCGTATTCAGAGTAGCCCAGAGCAAGCATGAGCTTGTGACATGTCTGGAATATAGCGAATATGTCAGTGAAAACGTTTACATTTACCGGGCCCTTTGATACGTACCTCAGCATACTGAACAATCGCGAATCCCTGTTTCTTCACACCCTCAGAGAAGCCAAAGTTCGGCAGACTAGGGGCAACGACGTGAAAGCTGGGGTGATCTGGTGACGCGGAGGTCAACAGCGGGAGCAGCTTCTGGACCTCGAGGAAGTGACCGGGCCCTGACGAGCAACCATTTAGGATCTCCTTGCAGTCAGTGTCTCGCAATACGTGTAACGTCACATACATCCGTGCGAGAACAGTAGCGGAATCGCATTCTTCACTTCGCTCTTCTGATGGACGTAATGGACGTTCAGCGTGCCAAAGCCCTCCACTTCGACGTCACGCGTGAACTGGGGATCTCGTTGATGCTAGCCTCTGCAGCGCGCCAGTCATACCCGTCTTTCCACCTCGCAACGAGCCTCTTCACATTCGCAAGCGGCACGCCGTAGTTCCACGCCGCGTCGTCCAGCTCGTCCGGGAAGCGTGTCAAGTCCAGTTTCTGGCGCAAGAGCGCAAGGTCAGCGTCCGGAACGGATACGGTGAAGAGCTGTGGCTCTGCCAGTGAAGCGGCCATGGTCTTTAGGAGAGCGACTGGTGTGCTTGTACAGAGTCAGTCTTAGCCTTTATATAGCCATCCCTACCTCTGAGATTATTGGTCAGAGAACTAGCCAAGACCGAGCGAACGATCGCGGACGCTATGACCTAGTCAGATTGTCAAAATCCGGAAGGACTACTCCCATCATCGATTCATCATGCAATTTCGCGGGTTTAGGACGAGATGCATCGTCGCGACACGCGACCTCGACGCGTGACGTAACGCGTCTTCTGGAGTCTGGAGCGGATGTAAGTAACCCCTCTTTTGGATAAATTCACGAGAAGATACACCTGCCACTGGTCAGCTGAGAGACCGACGAACAATGAACAGATACTGCGGCACGCTATGCCATGTGGGGTACGATAAAAGACACGAGTGACCAATAGCCGACGAAGAACACATCTGTGAAACAGGTTCCAATTGCAGGGAGAAAAGACCAAGGCATGTTGGTTTGCCCGCCGTTGAGGCCCCATTCACGACTTTCAGTCGTAACCAATCCTCCCTGGCACGACCCCAAACGCAGGCCCGCCCTTCCCGAACATCGCGCGCACGTCCGCTGCGAGGTCCTCCGGCTCTCGTGCGCAGCGAAATGCCCGCCCGCAGCGTGCTCCGACTCGATCACAACGTTCCCCAGCGTCCGCGCCCACCTGTGATTAAGTCAGATCATCACACGGACGGTGGAAGGTGAGTACGCACGTCCTCGGCGGCGCGCTGAGCTCTTTCGCGAAGAACGACAGCCCGCACGGGATCGAGCTCCACGGCACGTTCGTGTACTCGTTCGCGTTCGTCACTTCGTAGTATATCCTCACGGACGCGGCGGGTCCCGGCCTCGAGAACCAGTACAACGATATCCACGTCAACACTACATCGACGCTTCAGCCCCTTCATCCCATAGCAGAAGGGCTGACCGACTCACCTCGTCGTCGTCCAGGGATAGTCGTCTGACCAGCTCACGAGTTCTCGTACACCCATGCAAGTAGGCCCACGGGCGAGTCCGCAAGGGAATACCCGAGCGTCTGCGGCTGCGTCGCCTGCTCGAGGAAGTAGCCGCGGCCCTTGGTCATGAACCACGCCATGCGGGCGAGCCCCGCGCGGTCCCTCTCCGTATAGGACGTGAGCGCGTGCTGTAGCCAGAGTCGCGGGAATTTGGTGAGCGACGGAGGGCTGCGCGCTCTAAGGACAGGCATCATCAGCGAGTGCACACGTACTGACGAAGGGGACGTACCTCGGAAGTTAGTGTGCCAGGCCTTGACGCTTTTGTGGCCGTACGCTGCGGCGAGCTTGCTGGCGATCTAAAATCCTTAGCACTGCAGCTCAGGCATGCCGTGCACTAAACGTACGAACGAGCCCCAGTCTCCACCCTGCACGACTGGTACATGTATGTCAGGACAGTGACACCGACAAGAGCATGACACGCACCATACTCCTCGTATCCCAGCGCGAGCATAAGCTTGTTCCCCACCTCCGCGTACTGGTCGCCGCGGAACCCCGGTTCTTCACTCCCTCCGAGAACCCGAAATTAGCAGATTGGGTGCAACGACGTGAAAGCTCGGGTGGTCCGCGGAGGCGGCCGTCAGAAGTGGCAGCATCTTCCTCACCTCGAGGAAGTGTCCAGGCCCTACGCGTGTCCGTGGTCATGAGCGGTGCAAGACATGTGTTTGCATAGCACATCCGTGGAGGAACAGCAGCGGACCGCGTTCTTCACCGCACTCTTCTGGTGAATGTAGTGATGTTCAGCGTCCCAAACCCGTCGACGTGATTCCCTCTTGAACTGTGGGATTTCGTTGATGCCGCTCCGCCGCCGCCATCATAGCCTTCCTTCCGCGCGCGACGAGCTCTTGAGTCTGCGAGGGGCGCGCCGTAGTCCCACGCCGCGTCGTCCAGTTCGTCAGGAGGCGCACAAGTCAGCTTCTGTGGAGGAACTCGAGCGCAGAGTCGGGACACATCGTGAAGGCTGCTCTGCATGTTATGTGTACCTGCAGACAGCGAGCTGAAGAGTGCAGGCCGACAGTAGTATAGTCTATATATGTACCGTGCCGTGCGTGCGACACTAGCTTCTGTGAGGCCGACATCTGAGACTGATCTGAGATTCTGAGTGCGTGAGTGCGGCTGAGTCAATGAAGGCGAAGGTAACTCACGATACGCGCGTGGCGCCGCGGGGCCTCCTCCTCCTTGCGACGGGTGGCTGCTTACGACGCGACATTCGTGTGGGTTGATACTGTACACATGCTTCTATTGGCTGCAACACTGCTGATTATATCATATGGTGTTCATAGTGTTATGTAAGTGCTTGCAGACTTTGGCAGCGGCGGTGAGGCCTGCTGAGACGAGACGCAAAAGCGGCGAGCACATAGCGGAAGAGTGGCTACAGTCCCCAGCAAGTGACACGCGCCAGGCACACCTCCAGCGCAGCAGTCTCAGTGCTTGCCTTTTGAATTTGATCTGTTTAACTCGCAGAGGTAATAGTTGACTGAGTCGGAGTCACCGAGGAACCGCCACGCGAGGATCTGCGACACGTCGCTTCACGCGGAAAGGCAGCGATGTGTTTTAGGTACAGAAATTGCGGCGGACAAGTCGAAACGGACTGGTGGGACTGGTATGCATCCAAACCATCTAGCGGATCATCTGGGACAGCAGGGTGGCAATGCGACGAGTGCGATGCATAGGCGCGATAACATTCCGGGCACGAAGGATCTGAGTGGCGAAAGTGTACGCATCCACTCACGCCAGCCTGCTCAATCGACACTAATGACCTGGAGGTTGAAGCCCGCGGTCAGCACTCGTCCCGAGGGCCGAAGGAAAGCTCGTCTTTACTGCGGGTTTGCCCCAAAAGTGGTCGCTGCGGCGCCGAGGCTGGCCGTGCGCAGGCGGACGATGCAGTCTAGATGCCACATTAGTTCGACACCAGTTAGGGCTTTATGGTCTTACTGGGATATACATGCACTGTGCACTGAGGAGAGTGTTCTTAATGAATGGAAGATCGCGCTGACGAGTACATAGCAGCAGCGAGTCTCGTCCCATTTATGTGTCTCAGGTCGCAGGAGGAAGCGCGTTAGCCAAGCGCGAGCACCAGGAACACGGGTTTTCTGCGTTGAATCGGAGAGATTGGCGGCGCCATGGGAGGTCGCGGGTGACAAAAATCATCGAGAGCTCTAGCCTGGTGTTCCGTCGAGTTCAGAAGACGCAACGTGCCTAACCTGCCACTGATTACCTATGCTCGATCGTGTCTCGCCTCGCTCGGATGCCATCACGGGCGTAAGGATATATCGGGAGTGATGCTTGAGCCGAATGGCCTCCTTTGAGCTAAGCAACTCATGCATGTGCAGGCGAGGAACGTGTAAGAGCAGCAGCAGCGAAAGAGCAAGTGGCACTATTGCGGCGTAACCCGGTCGGTCATAGCCTGTATTGGACGAAGCTCACAGAGTGTAGGTTGACATCCCGAGAGATGTCGATGAAAGCTTGACTGCAGGCCTCATAGGACTTGTGCAGACTCTGCACAGTGCAAGAGGACCATACGCGTTGGGTGGCCCGACCGTCTCGCATCCACGGCCAGGCGCTCTATGGGCGCCTGACACAACTGGTGGAATCCGTGATGCACTACGCACGAGTCACAGCCGGTGGCGCGAGGCTCGCCAAGCGGCATCTTGGTCGATTCAAAGACATGCCCAGTCGCCATGGCTGCACAATCCTTTCTCTATCTAACGACCATCATGTTACCTACCCGTACAAGTATGCTGCTTGACTGCCCCGTGTGAAGCTACTCTGACGACGAATCGCAGGTGTCCAATCTTCTCCATCCACCACTCAGGACACTCCATGAGTTCTTTTCGTGAGTGTCCAGCCGATCGCTCGATCGATGCTTCTCGCTTACATTGCTCTTAGGTTCTGCGGGAATCTCGTCTATCGAACACGATGTAACGAAGCAGACCGCTACCGTCCACTTTGGAAGTCGTTGCGGCGAAGACCGCGCTGGCTCAACGGCGGCAGCCTCGACGGCGCAACGCTCGCAGTGACAGGCGAGAAGGAGCACGTCGACGAGAGGCCAACGTCTGCAGCGGGAGGGCCAATTCGAGCAGATGACAAGCCCCGTGCAGCCAGTGAGTGAACCTGCCGATCCTCCACGACCGAGACTGATTCCGTCTAGTCGCCGCGGAGTACCTCGCGAAGGCTCCAGCTGCACGACCATATCCTTCAGCGCGCGATCGAGCTCGACATAAGCACGGCATCTGTCGCGCTCCTCAACTACATGAAGTCGCTCGACAACACCTCGGGGAGAAGGTCGTCGGGCGGATAAGACCATCTCGGCCACGTCCAGGAGAAGGTCGCGCAGCGGCGCAGCCAAGGCGCTCGACGAGCAGAAGGGCTACTCCAAGCAGGCGTCCGACGTGCGTGCTTCCCTTTGACACTGTTCTTCAGAACGCTGATCGTCTGTGTCGCTGCATACTACACTCGCGCGTCTCGTCACCGTGGGCCAGACGTCTTCCAGTTTTACACTTCGACGGAGCAGGTCTCGACATCAGCGAGGCGAAGCGCCTCAAGGGAGCCAGGGTCAGACCAGAAGCCCGCGGACGTCGGCACAGCTTCCACCGGGGTCGGCACAGCTGCACTCCTCTCGACCCTGCCGTGCAGACAACTGAGAAGCCGCTCGTGTAAGGATATCCACGTCGGAATGAAGAAGCTGAAACATCTAAATCTGTATGTATGCTATCGTTACCCTAGTGACGAAAGAATGTGTAGTGTATGATGCTTGGGCAACGTGAATGATATAACAATGCGCACGTCGCTGTTCTAGATTCTTACTATGCGAAAGCAAAATACAATGCGTCAGGCGTGGACAGAGCACAACTGCTCACTTACCAAGGCTTGTGTCTGTAGTATGTACTCATAGTAGTCAACGCGGAGCGCGGTCGTCCGCCCTCATCTTCGTGTGGGTGGCGAAGACAGTGAACCACAGAGCCTACGAAACGAGCTAAGGTTGGGCAGTCCGGCGTAGCCGGAGCGGATGCGGAGGAAGAGACCGGTGACTGCACTGTACAGCCACCGACGCGTCGCGTTGGCTCGCGGGTCTCTGAGTCCACGACAACACCGAAGCCGGCTCATACTGTACTACTCAAGTTACCCTGCAACCTCTGGCAGTCACATACATACCACCCGTGAATCCTCGTCCTCTAATGGCTGGTTTCACCGCGACTAAGTTAAAGACGCGACTATGCGCGCCCTGTCAATGCTAAGTAGCAGCCGGTACAATCATCACTGTTATCGCCGGAGCCTGGTAGTCGCGCGGAATAAAGATATGGTCGAACAAGTCACAGCGACTTGCTTATTGAGCCGTGATCGAGCGTCGAGCTGCGCTGGATAAAAGCTTGGTCTCGAGAGTCGGCGAGTGACCCGCTCGCCACCAGAAGAGCTGCCAGCGGACTGAGTGGACCAGAAGACGCACTCGAACCGTGCTGCATGATCGACCGAGATGAGCGTGTGAACAGCGCGCCTGTCCTCGAAGCTCCGGATTTGGCGGAAATGTTTCCGTCGTCGTTGCCCGAGCAGCCTGCCACCGAGTACGTGACTCCACTGTTCACCCGGTAAATGCAATGGCGACTGACGGTGTGCACTTAGGGTCAGCTTCGCCGATGCAACGCTCGTTTTCCCTGTCGTCGTGGCGCAGCATCGCGTGATTCTAATCATCCAACTAGGTCTGCGTTCGAGATGGCAGCATGGAATAAGGTCCTAGTGGTTTCACGCTACAAGCATCGACACTCATGGTTTGACAGTCGAAGCACCTGCAGTCCTCTACAGGGCCGTTCCAGTTCTCGCAGTGGTTAGCAGAGCGCGGAGACCTACCATTTCGCCTTGAACATCGTCAGGTCCTGTCATGCTTGTGTTATCATTCTGTCCGTGGCGACTGCGGTCACCCGAGACCCGATGCTTCATTCCAAAGAGCGTACGATATCGACGTCTTGTCGGTGATGTTGCTGTTGTTCCCGCAGCCTATGTACGATCACTTCCTCGAGGCTTGGGCGACCATGCTTATCTCATTGCAGCTGTACACGTGCACGCTCAGCGTCGCGGCGACTGTTCTCATACGCGTTCAGCGGTAGCTATACGACACCTAAACGCAGTGCCTCGTCACCTGGGTGTATACGTCTATCGGGACTATGGCCGCTGGCCACGTACACATGATCCTCTGGATGCCTCGAGGGCCCTGTTGTGGCGTTTCGCCCTGCTCACCTCAGCGCGTATTACTATCTCATCCCACACCCTCTTGCCCTTCGACCGCGGTGAGCAGGTTATACACCAGTCTCTGTCAGCTATAGCTGACCAAATAAACAGAATCCATGCCAACCCTCAGCGGAACGACGACGTGGCTGTCGTTCGTCTTCTTTTCTTCGTGGACGAGACCAGAGACGCCTCGCGCGTAGACACTTTCGCTTGACAAGCTGCGCCTGCAGACTACGATGAGGCGGAGAATTTGAAAGGAGCCTTACGTGGTCTTTCTCCTCGAAGACATGAGTAAGATTGATGAATGCAACTTTGCAGGAATCGATCCCTCCATCTAAGAGCGCAGGCATCTTGCTGGGCCTGAAAGTGTGGCGTGCGTATCCTATTTCAACTCGTATCACGCTCACTGTTACTCATGAGCAGGTCTTGAATGATCAAGATGTGCTTCCCTCTCGCAGGCAGCGTATGTCACAACGCCCGAGATCTATCTATCTGCGGTCACCTAATACTGCCTACAGACTGCTCTCAAATTTGTAGCGCCGCTCAGTATCAGATACCTTCTCGAGTAGGCCTTCATGCTCTTAAAAAGCTGTTGTCT